AAAAGGGACACAGTGTTCTAGTTCTCAGGTTTCATCCTTCAAGACAAAAAGCAAGTTGTCAACCACCTTCTTCTTAGTCTTTCGGTGAAACAAAGTAGCTTGACTGAAAGAATGGAACCTTGTACAAAAACAAAGACACAAGGTCAATAAGAACGTACAACTAGAAAAGTCTGGTGGACATTGAGCAGCACGCTAGAGCACGAATGCCCCCTCAGCGCTGTTAGTTTGAAACTCTTGTCGCAAAAACAAAGGCATAAAATCAGATAAACTTTTGAAAACCCTGGAGTTGACATGGCCCGAAGGCAGTTAGCAGGAAGCAAACCAGAAGCTCAGATGTCAGCATGACGTCAAAGACCCCAACTCAGCACCCAATCGCACTAATTATAGGCGCCATCTGAGTGTCCGCGAAAGAAAGGCGAAGATTGTGAATGTCTGATTACACTATCGGGTGCACAGGCTTCGAAGTAACAAACGAGTCTTTCTTCAAGGATATATCGCACAGAACGAAGATTGCTGAAAACAGCTAGATACCGACACTTTGTGCGACCATCAAAAAAGTTGCAGTTTCGCCGTGGACATGTGTAGGTTCAATCCTGGGTCTACTGAAAATACGCCTGCTCGCCAACTTTCCGTACATAATATAGTGGTCAATGAAGCTTTCCTCCCAAAAAAACAATGACGGACAGGTCCTCGGGCAAATGTGCCATGTAACAAACGATTAAAAGAATACATAACATGCTCCTTGAGGGAGATAATACTCACGCTGACGTGGGGACATGCCATTCTCGTTCGTAAGGATCAAGGCAACTTATTTCCTTCACCCGCCTGATTTTCAAGGTTTACGGTGATTAAGACGTACCCATTCAAACAAAGGTTGCACTTAACGCTTGATAACCCAAACTTGCTTAGTTTATGGATATCCTAAGGTTCTTCCGACAAACTGGTACTATCAACCCGTTTATCGTGGCAATCTGTTCGCCTGTTTTTAGCGATTTTTATGACGATCTTTTGTTTTATTGCCCATCAGTTGCCGTTATGCTGTCACACTTGCGTCTTCATAAAAGTCGTTCTATGTAATTGTTCATGCTCAGATTAGGATTTAGCCCCATGTACATGTGTTTCTAACGTTTGCTTCCGATTTGTTCAGATAGCGATAGCAGGCCACTCTCTCAAAATAATGAATGCTCGAGCTAGTGTTAATAAAATACGAGAGCCTTGGCCTTGTAGATAAGGAGGAATACTTTAAATTTTCACAGCAGTATGCCTGACATTCACAATTTCATGAGTATTTAAGTGCGTTTATGAGAGTTTTTTACAGTTGGAAGCAGCCTTGTCATTAGCTCTGTCCTGGATACGTGTGCGATTTTGAAGAGCGTAATAACTTGATGTGGGAATGGAATATCAAGCGTAATGAAATAAACAAGCGTTAGTGTGCAGGCGACTTTGTTTAGATAAAAAAGTTATCGAAAAATCTGAAATAGTTGCCATTATTTCACATAACCCGCAAAACACAAAAACGGAACATACTGTCTTGAATTGTATTGATTTTCACGACTTCTGGGAGACCCCCATATATGAAGCAAGATGGACATTTTACTTATAATTTACCGACATACGCAGAAATCCACAGTGTAACTCCTCACTGGTGATTCATGATTTTATCTTCTGAAATGAGTTCTATGTACAGCAGAGATGTTTTGACAAAAAACTTGCACAGGTGCTACCACAGCCTCCGTTGCCTGGTGTCTCATCATGTAAAATATTTTTTCATATATTATCCTCAAAAATGACCAGGTCGTTTAAGGTTATGCCTGCTGTGTTTATGGCTAGGAGTACTTTTAAAGGTCGTTTTAACGCTCATAATCTAACGCTTGACAATGGCAAAAGATATATTTTAAAAAACGTACTGACAAACCTACGACAGATCAGGGCTCACCTCCTTGTGAAAGGCTGCTATCTGAGCTCGAGATTTTTCCTTTGAGTTTCAGACAGCTTTGATGCCAACTGGTACAAATATTTTGAGTCATAAGCGATCAGTTCTGCTGTCCTTTACCTGGACATTGCCGTGTAGGGGGGTAGGATATAGGGATTTTCAGTAAGAGGACACTCCTGGAGGGATGGCAGGTTGCATCATGCGTATGGTGATTGCTCGCCACGATCGCTAGCTGGCAAAAAACTCGCTTCTGGAGCTCCAAGGGGTTGAGCTTTGCCTGTCGGCCACAGCCCAGTAACCTGCTCAACCGGAAGGCAAAACCACACGAGGTTACCAACAGCTGTGTGCACCCCCACATCCGACAATTCTGCTTCCAATCCCATCCCTAATCTTTCCCTTCCCTTATCTCAGTTCCCCCCTTTCCGTTGCCATTTGTACTTCTAAAGTCATACGGAGAGTGCGATATGTAATTGCGTAAGCTGCCCACGCTAATTCGGCTTGCTCTCTCCTAAGCCAAGCAGGGACCCATAGGGGAGTTTGACACCCGTTTAAAGTGTCTAAAAACTCCCGTATGGGGGTATCATGACGAACCCCCTCGCAGGCAAGAAGCTAGAAACGGTGCCCAAAACAAGTTCTGTGATCATCTTCTCCTCACGCAAACCTGACTTGCAAATTTAAAACTCACAGTCAAAACAACCAAACAAGCCGGTAATAAAAACGGAGCTGATGCGGCATTTTGAAGAAAACGACTTGCTCAGTTTGTATTGGCATGGATTTTGAAGCGGTTGATCCTGTCTCACTAACCTGCTAATATCCACGGAGAGGTGGACAAATCGATCGACATGGGATTATTAGTCGGCATCATGTACATTGACTTCAGAAAAGCTTTTGACAGTGTTCCACACAGTTCTGTTTATTCAGTTAATTTGGTAAGGATAATAGGCGAAGCCTCTGAAAACTCTATTGATTACATGTCAGCTCGTTAGAAATAACTGTACACGAACAAAAAAATATTAGCTATTAAAATAGTACTTGGTTCATTTTAGTAACATTGTCTCAGAGAAAATATTTTTGGGAACGTGGGGTCTTAATTCAGATTCAGACCGTCGAGGGAAAACAGGGGACACAAATAATCATCCAAACGTCTCTTGAAGAGTTGCAGAGACGTAGTCTCCACGACTGACTGAGGGAGATCGTTCCATTTCTCCACAACCATCTGCGTGAAAAATTCAGAACGAAGATTCAGCCTGGACATTGCTGTCCGTAAATTCATCAAGTGACCACGAAGATTGGGTGAAATGTGCCACTGAAACGTCCACAAAGTTAAGTCCATGCTTAAGGTCATGTATTATCTTGTAGACGAGGATAAGATCACCTCTTTGCTGCCTCTAACACAGAGGGAATAAATTAAGGCAATTCAGTCTGTCTGTGTAGGATTGGCTTTTTAGACCGTTTACCAGCTTTGTTGCACTCGTTCGAGGCATGCTTGGTCCTTTACTAGCCATGGCCTCCACGCTTGTATGCCATATTCTAAGTGGGGCCGAACAAAGGTGCCGTAAACTCTCCCAAAAAGGTCTCGGTCAAAGTTTACGAAAGCCCTTTTGATTGCATGCAGCACTCCCATGGCGTTTTTTACAGCCTTGTGGCACTGCAGTGTTGGTTTCAGGTTGTTCTGTATCCAAACTCCGAGATCCTTCTGTGAAGATTCTGCGGGGAGCCTTATATCTTTCAGGTGATATGTTATCAGACTCTCATTTAAATGAGAGTTGGTTGGACGCAAATGATGGACTGTACACTTCTCCACATTGAAATCTAGAAGCTATTTCTTCGACCACGCTTGCAGTCGGTGCAGATTATCTTGAAGGGATCTCTGATCATTCGTTACCTTAATGACTTGCCAGAGCTTAACATCATCTGCAAACATTATTTTGCCGCCGCTGAGTTCCTGAAGACTGTCATTAAGATAATGGATGAAGAGCAATGGTCCCAGAAACGAGCCTTGCGGCACACCACTGGTCACGTTCACCCATTCTGACATATCATCCCCTACACAGACACATTATTTCCGACCAACCAGAAACGCCCTAATCCAGTTCAGAAGATCTCCCTGGATGACGATGGCGCTCAATTTGTGAAGAAGACGTTGGTGCGGGACAGTGTCAAAAGCTTTGCGGAAATCGATGTACACAACATCGACCTCAAAACCCTCTTTTAGAGACCTGGTCCAGATCTCCAGACAAGCTAGCAGATTTGAGAGGCAGGAACGTCCTGTCCGGAAGCAATTTTGAAAATCCTACAAGAAGTTATTTTCTTCACAAAACTGCTGTATAGCGCTCTTTACTATAGGTTCCATCGTTTTGCAAAGCAGTCAAGTTAAGCTAATAGGCCTAAAGCTGCTTGCTGTCATCCTGCTACCTCCCTTCTATTTAAACTACGTCAAGTGAGTGTGAGTGGAAATCTGTTGAAATGTTTAGAAGATTTCCCTACTTGCAGAGCTCAGCGTGCGTGTATCGGAAACACTACATCAGAATGGGCATCCGTCCACAATGGCGTTCCGCAGGGGAGCCGTCTGTGTCCACTTCTGCTCTCAACATATGTGAACGACTGCCTGGACTGTCTGAACTGCGAGCGCGTAATGTTTGTCGATGATCAGAAATTGTGCGAATCAATAGAGAGGACGGAGGTCTCTGTACAGTTACCACACCACCTGAATCGCTTGTAACAATGGGGGTGATGAATGGCGTCGTAGCCTCAATCGTAAAAAATGCCTAATTATCCGATTACGATCGAGCAGCAGAAGGCCGATGAGATTTGAATCTCACTACTTTGTAGGAGGTCATCAACTCGAATCAGTCAACGAGTTAAGAGACCTCGGTGTGTAGATGACATCAACTCTAAAACCATCGTCAGTGTCACCTATCCATCCAGACAGGTCACCTGTTCGCTGTTCCTCGTTGAACTTGCACATTAATATTTGTTATATACATTCTTCATATCATGTTGCTCTATTACACTATATCCCTACTCGACGTACTCACTTCTTCTGCGTGTGAAAGAGTTTCGAGAGATGTTAACAGTTCTGTTCAGGTCTACCTCCGCCAAAATCTCCTCTCGGCGTTTCCTTACTCTGGTGTGTGCTACCCTTGACGTTCTCGGCCGCTACAACAAGGCCACCTTTACCGACCTTTGTCTAGGACACACGGGAACCATTCAGCAACATGACAGTGTGGTTATTGGTTGTAAATATCGGAGGTCGAGCATTGAAGGTTGTAGTGAACGAGCTTTTCAGGATCGGCCGGGAAAGGTACCTTTTAATTTATTTGTAAGGGTATTTTGGATACAGTTGATGCGGGAACGTTTTCCGAATTTGTGTGAGTTCGTCTGGTCTAATTCTTGACCATAGGCTGTACAAGATCTTGTCAAGTCCCTTGATAACGTTTTGCTGCCAAATTGCCGGCTACAGGGACTCTTAGGCTGCTGTGTTCGCGGGCCGATGCGAACGATCCCAATTTCGCATACAAACGCATACACGCACCGTCTTAGGCGGAGTCGTGGACATTCCCAGTCGAGTAGACTGCTAGATGCCTGGGACTACGAGCTACGGAAAGGCTCCTGATGGGGGGCTGTCTGTTTTGCCGCGTAAAATGCTCTTGCAGGCATAGGAGCACATGCATCGTCACGGCTTGCTTACTGGACGGAAACTGCCGTCTGGTCAACACGGGTTCCCATTTCTACCCAACTTATGATCGTCCCTGCAACGGTTAAAAGTACTCCGGGCTATGCTATCAGGGGTGGTGTTATTTACCCAAATCGCCGGTACCAGGCACAACATTCAAATTCTGTTTCGTTCTCCCTCTATACAGCATGAACTAGTTGACTGTTACGTGGGGGATTCAGTTCACAAAGTTATACGTACGTGTAACGACTAGACACTCTTAGTCAGGGGCAGCATACGACCTCTATTTGTTGCGGATTTGATCCACTTTTTTATGAGCTCGCAGAAGATTTCTTGTGCATCGTTGCACATGTTGACAGTACACCCATTTGGCAGACGGATTGTAGGGTCCGACGGTCACTAGTTTTTCCAGCTTGCACGACTCCTGCTGGGTCTTCTACGTCTTATCGTCATGCGTACCATTATGTCTGCTGCCGTACTAGCATTTTCTTATCTGCGAATACCGACACCTTGTTTTCAGCCACAAGACGCACCGTCATGTGGGACATTCTGCCCACGGTCAGTTTTGATCTCAAAGAGGTGCTCGTCCGAAATTTTGCTCGATTCTTGCAACCGAATCGTCCCAATCGAATATGCAACTGGCTGCTGCCGTATCGTTCTCTTATATTTACAACTTATCTGAATTGACGGATATTTATCGTTCGCGACGTAGGCCACTTCCTTGTCCTTGTATATAGCGACGAGTTATCTGCCACACCCGCGAGAGAACCTTGGTGGGATTATAACGTTATTGATAGACTTGACACCAGGTTGTTTATTTACTCCTGAACCTGAAGATCTTACGTCTGTTAACTTGCATTCATCCGGTCGAAAGCACGGGGCCAACGTACCGCTGTGGTTGCAACCCGCATGGAGCGACACTTTTGTCACGCTGGCATTCCAGAAAGTTCACGACTGAATGGGCAAGGACTACTTCATACGGTCCTTCTTGAGGTCATGTTTCCGAATCCCCGCTTATTCCACAATGTCTACGCGAATAAGGACGATTCACCTTTCGCCCGAGACACGGTTATTCAGCGTAAAACCTTGCATAATCAATTCACAAAGTGCATCTGCCAGTTTTTAGTTTTATCTCTGCGCTTGGCGTCTTTCATCGTCGGATTTGTCACTGTTGATTCTCTGGGCTACTGAAATCTACTATAGCAACAAAAGGCCGGTACCAGTATGCATGACAGAGTGAAATTTCTCCGATGCTACTTGAGACACTTATCAGGACCTAATTTCTCCGCCAACACTTCATTTTCGTACCAGACTGGTTTTTTCTTTATGTGTCAGCGTATTACAGGTCTTAATCCCAGCATTATCGATCCTCTATGTGCCTTTAATGTAATGTTACCCACATTCACCTAGAATTCCGTCGATCACACTGGCACCAAGACGCCCGAATGGGCTGTATGATTATTTACCCTGGGCTAATGACACCCGTGCCGGGCCAATTACACTCGATCTCGGCCCTCCCATATTTGGCACCTAACTTTTCGAATTTATGGACTACCCGCGACATTGTGGTCTAACGTTCTTATGATGGAGGCAAAGACGAATTCGATAATCGGTCAAGCGTCTGCATGCTGACTTCTTTTTTACTTTGTGAACATTTCCGTAATTGTCGTATAATCATCTGGTGCGCCAACGGGAGTGTAGGAGGCTTCTGCCAAGACGACCAATCTATGTAGGTGTGAATCATGGCCCTAGCGTTCAGAGTATATTTTTTTCAATTGGGGGTGTTTCGTCGTCACTTTTTACGCTCCGCTCTCTGAATTGGTCCCCAGCGAAGGCATATACAGTCGGTCGGGACACTACTAGCCAACTGTTCCATCCTTACTAAGTTTGGTATTTGGCTATGCCCTGCGCTGACGTAATGACGAAATAGACTGAAATATCATCTTGCCCAAGCTCAGTCCTCACTGGCTGTGACACAAGAGCCAAATTAGGGCATTGGTTGGCCATGTAAAAACCGACCTCTGACGTACTAATTGTAATCAAAGGCGATCCATTGATACGCGTTAAACTTGCGGCCTGCGGCCGAGGGTTGAATTTCGAAAAATGACCCCATTTTCACAATGAACGCACCATAAGACGTTTCAATATTAGAGAAGGGCCAACATTCACAAACAAATCTTCTTATAAAATAGTCCATGACTTCCCTCCGCGTGCGTCTCATGAGTTCGCTATGTGTTTGCCGCTCATCAAAGCAACCTTATAGATGGAGAACTACCGTACACTTCCAAGTTGCCTCTCGCGTCCTTTAATTTATTTCATATGTGATTTGGCGTGGTTGTAAAGGATTCTGTATTAGGATAATCCATTTTTCTGGCGACATTCTGGAACTAAGTCGCTCCTCCGGCATTTACCTACTCAAACTACGTAGCTATTGTGTTTATAACTTATCCAGGCACAAGCTGTGTGTAGATGCCATCATTTATACACCTTCATCCATCAATCTATCGTTTCCACAGTTGTAGGGCTCTTCTACCGCCGATATCACAGTTGGCAGTCGATGAGTTCAGTCTCAGTGGGCTTCAAGGAGTTTGACTGGACCCTATCTCTCGCCCACCATGGGGCCTACCTCAGCGTAGATGATATTCTAGCCACAAGTGAGCGTGTCCCCTGTCGTCTCCGAGGCTCCATTCCAAAACTGGCACCTCTGCTTCTGGGTTCGTGCTCTACACAACAATCTCGTGGACGAAGGGTTGGCGAGGGCATCTCTGATGACTTGGACGAGGATGACTCAGATATCAACGTCCCAGCTGGGACAAAGATGGATCTGCCTCTCTGGCTGGTCTTCAGCGTCGGAAGTAGCCGCCGTCAGCTTTTTGCACTGGATTTACCAATAATTTATCGAGTATGTTGCACTGTTTAATCTCACTTCGCCTCTATGAAAGGTGCTCACCATCAAACACCTGTGTTACCTAAGACGGTTATACGCTTACGTGAGTGGCATGGTGTGGTGAAGAATGTCAGACCAGGCCACCAGTCTTCTTCAACTACGACTAGAGTCCGCGGCATAGACCTTAAACCTAGACCAGAAATTTTACCCAGTTGCAACTGTTATCAATCACTTCCGTCCTAGAAATGTATTGAAATTCGGCTGGTCCGACTAGTTTGTGAGGAAACAGCTTGTCGATTTGTACTGTTTAACTGTCATTTGCAGTATATACTTAATTCATAGGACGAACACGTATATCCCTAAGTACACTTTAAAATAGAAGGTGCTCCTCATCTTGAGTTCTAATACTCGTGGGCGTGAAATGTAGTCCCGAATTAAATCATACTCAGCAGCGTATGTCACTCGTTTAAGACTCATTCATGCCGTTTGCTACTGTTTCATTTGCAAAGTTGTTCACCGGTTTAGATTCGTCCTGTTGCTGACGTTTCGAGGAGTTTGGCCGGCTTTCCATTTTCCAAGCGCTTAATGCCGAAAAACTGCCAAAATTTTAAACGAATGGCCGTTGTAATCGGCCTTGGACTGATCACTTAGTTTCTTTTTCGCTGTCTCAGTCTTTTGGTGGATGTTTGTGAGGCTTGAAGTTGCGCGTCGTCATCTCGACGAAGGACGCCTTCGGGTGAGTTCGTCGCCGGTCGTGTCTGCCCAGATTTCTTAGATTCGGTATGACCATCTTGTCCTGGTCTTGGTGTATGTGATGACGCGGGACTTTATAAACCACACAAAGGTTCAGGCACTTGTCGGTAGAGTTGGCATCTGAATACCATGTCTCATATGTGAGGCGTTCTGCTTTAGAAGCGCCTCGACCTAAGGTGGTCGCTCCTTAAAGGTCAAAAGTGCAGCCCGTTTCATCCAATACGAGTTGAGGATAGCGAGTTCGAGTCTAGCCTCCGAGTTACTACCTTCTGCTCATCTACGCGGGCCTGCAATTTTCGTCCAGTTTCACGACCTAATGGCAAAACATGTGGTGGTCAACTGCCGAGGTTTCGGTATGAGGCAGTCTGTCCTTAAGTTGTATCACACGGCGACTAACTGCTGCTTGGGGTCGATGGGCTATGCCTACTCCGGGGAGTCGCAATAATCGAGAGACCGTCTCGGCAGCTCCTTCAGTACACAAAATGGCTCTCTAGACTTCCTGTTGCTGGTCTTTTGACCGTCGTTTGTTCACTCGGTGCTTGCTTTATTTTATAAAATAACTTGGATACCCATTAGCTCAGAAGAGGCCATGAAGGTATTGCCGTTCAGTTTTTTTGTCAGCTGGCGTGCTGCAGTGTGTTTGAACTCTTTAGAATAGTGTGCGGACTCAGTCATGTTTGTAAGACAGAGGGTAATTGCTGTTGAAGTGTAGTATTTGCCTTGTGCTTGTGACTGTAGTCTGCAGTTGCGTAGTTGCACAACAGCGCATAAGGACACCGAGGAAGGGTAGCTGGTTTTTCATTTAATCTTCCTTCGTGAGTTAGATATTCCGGTCTACCGAGTTCAATAATTCTTTGAGATACTCGAGGTTACGTGTTTTGACAATGACAAAGATGCCGTCGACGTAACAAACCCAGATTTTTGGGTTGATACTTGGCGAACATCAAGTGGTCTATCTGTTAAATGATCACTTCAGCAGTCAGACCTGATAGGACGGGGAGGGAGAGCCCTTACAAGGGTTTTTAATTTGCTCACAAATTTGTTTGCCAAATGTGAAATATGTTTTTGTGCAGTATTATGGAAGCTCAGGTAGATGTTTGGATGTTTGCCGCTCTTTTTAGCCCCTTGCATTGATACTGACCGCACGCTCTACGAGCGCCGGAGCGGACCGGAGAAATTTCATCAACTCGAGTGTTAACTTCTCTATGCCTTACATATTTTTAAAAAAGCAGTACTAAATTCCTCGGAATTAGTCCTTTCCCTCGATATCAGGGCATTCATTACTTTACGCAGAAATCATACCCTTCTCTTAAAGTTTTCTAACTCGTTCGGGCTGTTGATGGATCTCTGTAGGTCAGCGTATTCAAAAAAATATAGTTCGACGTTGACTGTATAGTCAAGACCATTAAAACTTCTGAGCTAGATGACAGCTCAACCCCTTAAAATTCCCCACAGGTCAAGTAGCTGACGCAGTTGTTGGGAGGATTCTACTTTGCAACCGAAAAGACGGCCGCCGGGTGCTGGTTTAGTGGGATTTGCCGTTGGTACCCCCGACTGTTTAAATTTTTTTCAGAACGGTCACCGATCACTTGAAAGCTCCCTCTATCAAGCTGAGCACGCATCGGTTTTTACAGTTACTCTGTCAAAGAGACCAAAGTCCTTCGTTAGGCACTGTTTCATCCGTTTGCTCCGTGGAAATCACCTTATGCCTTCTCAGTTATAGGATGTCATAACATTTTTTGAGCATAACTCCCTTGCCGTGCTTTCAAAAGGCTTTGACATATCTCCTGATCACTGCTCTATTTCCCTTTAGCATCGTTGACACAGTTTGTTTATCTACTAAAGCTGCAAGACCCAAAGCCTTCTCGAGTTGCATCTTTGGGCGGAAGACTCCGCTCGTGAGTAACGGTCACCAGCTTTAAAAAGTGGCGATTTGATGTAATTTTAAGTCAGATGACCAGGGTAGGGACGGAATCTACAAAGGCTCTGCAAGCCTTTGTAGATGTCCACGGGACCTTTGTGACACTTACATCACCAAAAACAGCGTCCATGGAGCATCCAGCAGATCGGTTCTCGTTCACAGTCGTAGATGCTCAGCGTACGGAATGGGAGGCTTTCGACCTCAGTTGTAGTTCGGGGGGCTGACTACTCGTCGTAACACATCCGAAGGAGACGGCCGGCGGGTGTCGGACAAATTTTTCTATACTCACTCCCTGATTCCGATGCAGCCGTCCGGAATCAGACGCCACTGTCTAATTGGGGACGGTGGAGACGACGCCGATTAAGAGTTTGGCTCGACACTGCCCACAAGTATGTTCTTAGGGCATTTGGTCTTAAAGACCGCTGCAGCCGAGAAGGACCACCCGCAACATCATCAAGGCCGGCTAGATCGGACACAGGCACAGGTATATTTGCTACAAGCAGTGTCCTGCACGAAGAGGACATAGCAGTACTCTCATTGTGTTCAAAGAGGTCCAGGTCTGGTTTTGTCTTCCAACCCTCAACAGGGCCGTTCACTAATCAGTCATATTGCACTACTTGTCCCAGGGCACTTTTTAAGCCGACCCTAGTTTTGCTTCATTTTCAGTCAGGCTCGTTATTTTCCTTTCTAACCTAGGAAGGTTATCGGGAGGTGTTTTCTGCGGATCCCTGGGTGGTTGATTTGCGCAAAAAAGGTCCATATTTTTATTCAATTGGTTGCCACCTTCTGAACCTTTCCAACCCTGAGCTCCTTTCAGTAATCACAGCTGTGGAGAATGCTTTCCAGGTAAGTATTTGTGTTTTTCCGGAAATAATGAATCGCATTGTCGTAGTCCTCCAGACCTTCACAACCCAGCTGTTTTGTTTCTATGCAGTATTGCAGCATGTCAAATTAGCAAGGATCTCGCCGTTTTCTAAATTGGTTCCAGTGCATCAATAAAGCTTCTTATAAACCTGACAAATTTACTATTTCTATTCAGCTCTTACTTACTGGGGGTTTTAACAACAAAAACACGCCCAAATAAATTCGGAAAGATACACTTGGTAAACTTTACTAACTCATTGCGAGCTGTTACTGTCCTTAAGCTGCTTGTGCAAATGGTCGGGTCTTTTTCTCCAGTCAAAAATTTTCATACGTCGTCACACCACACAATCACACACAAAGGCGCCTGAACTCGTAGTAATTCCACCCCGTTGAGGGGAACTAATTTGGACTGTCACACTTACAAAGCCTTTGTTCCTCCCATCGTTGAGGAGGATATTCATACCCTCGGTTTTCACGAAATTGATGAAAGTTAGTCACATGCGATTTGGTAGCCATCTTCATATCTGCACTTCATAATGGCCTGCGGCGGGGGCTTACATCACCTTATAATCAGGTCTACTCTGAGTTCTATGCGTCGCGTCCACTGAAGCATTTGTAGTCCCACACCGGATTTCCGTCTTTTGCCCATTACATGCAGTTTCGTGGACATTGGTCATTGTTACTGTGGCACAACAAACCGTCCGCACTGGGAAGAGACTACGTGGGACGGCATGGTTTTCTGCAGTTTTGGGATCTGAGAGTAACCTTATCCATCCATCCCTCCCGCACACTGGTATAAGCTCTCAACATTGTGGCTGATGGCATGTAACATTCACCATGTTGTAATTCCACTCTGGTCTGTGACCTCTTTATGTTGGTAGCCGATTTGCTGGATTAGTATTCACCTTAGTCGACGGCACACACCAACGTTTCTCTTCATGCAAGCCTTGTCTACCAACTCCCTCATATGATCATGCTTGAGCGCCGTCTATGACAAAAGGACACTGGCAGCGGGCTTTTCAAGTTTTGCAACGATAGATAAGTTAAATCAAGACCCACTGACTTTGTGCTTCTTTACTTTGTCAAACATGGAATGCCCATCAGTATAAACTGTCCGCACATGTTTGATCAGAAATTGCTGGTTGATATGCGGACTAATATTACTTACGATTCCGATTGTAGGAGTTGGGTGGGGTGCCTATAACTGAAACTGTGACCTGTGTCTCAGTGCAGGCAAAGCAGTCCTGTCTTCTTTCCACGACCACACTTCACTCGCTTATGCGTTTTCATGAAGCATTTCCTTGCCGTAACATGTACGTTTTCGGACACAAACTCGTCTTTATTTACCCATGCGGCGTGTTTACCCGCCACGGAAGAAACCCTTCCACCTGTCTTAACGGTGACGCCGCGTACCAATTCTGATGTGTCCTGGCTGGGCGTTTTCGTGCATATCGCGACGGAAGTGCCGCAAGTGCGCCAAGGTCACCCACCATCACCAGCAGGGTGGTGAAACACGTATCTTTGTCAAGTGTGATATGTCGTACAACCCATGTACAGTACCAACTTGTCCTGCTTCCGGACGAGCATTCGAATCGCGCACCAGTATGGTCGGTCACTTGTGAATACACCGCAATGCGGCGGCCGGACACCAGTATCTATAGCCCCAGCCAACATATGCTACGCACATCTTACTTACTTGCACTGTTCCAGAGCATTCGGGAAATACATAGACTTATCCGGCTGCATACGTCTGTATGAATACGTTCGGTAAAACAGCGTAATCCATGTCTTCCCTAAACTACTTCTCTCTACTTGTTCTTGGTACCAATCCGATATCCCGAACTGTACCTCTCAACGCGTGACGATCCGTGACAGCAGATCTGAACAGCTTAACCCATTCTCTTCGCCAACGACTGAGACCGAATACCAAAGGTCCAAGAACCACTTCCATGTCTTGACGAACTGTGTCGACCCCTCTTCGACGCCTCCAATGGAGCAACGCTGGCGGATTGAGGGCAGTAACACTGAGCTCCTGAGGTGGACTACGAATAACATGCCAAAACACCCCTATCGTCTTTCGTGGATAGCCTGGGTTATCCTTACGGTGTTGTCGCAGCGACCGCGGACTGTCTCATTTGAAATGAAGTCGGTGTACTACACTCGAAGGATGGTCCTGAAGAAGTGGTGGCCGAATACCTCCATTTTTCGCTCATTCTCCATGCGCATAATCCAGCATTCACAGCCATAGAGAAGAGCAGACCGGACAGACGCACGGTACACGCGAATCTTAATGGCATTGGTGATGTCGCGTCGGATCCATAGGCATTTTCTAAGGCTTTAGAAAACCCGCTGGGCGACATCAATCGGGGAGACAACTTCGTCCTTACTCTGTCCATCCACACACAAGCGCACTTGTACTAGGCACGGGTTTTATCAGTCAAACGTGTACACTTACCAGCAAGACATCACATGTCGCTCCTATACCAGCCACATCTTACTTCTCTGAGAACTGTTTTTTTTAATGAAGTCTGACCATGCTGAGTGGTGGAGGAAAGCAGCATGCATGACCCGCCCAGCCAGAGGACTTCAAGCAACGTCCGCCACCGCGCCCAGTCTTATCACCAATCGGCTCACTGGCTCGGACAGGCCGCTGGTGCACGTCAGATTGCATACAGATCTGTTACATTCCTTTTCGTAATAAACCTAGAGCCTTTGAACCCATCGCAACGTTCTAGAAGTCGTGGCTTGGAAGATTGCCAAATGAAGGACCAATTTTGAGCTGATAGTCAGGCCTCCCGAATGAAGTCTTGTACGTCTGGAACTAGGGACCGGGTCGTGCATGGCATGGGCAGACGGACTGTTTATTTTCGACAGTCACTGCGTCCACGCCCACATCCAGCCTTTGTCTTTTCGTCGGAACATGGTGGTTAAGAGAAGAGGGAGCAAGGTAGATGCAGCAGAAGTCAGTTTTACTGTGGACAAAATCACGCCCAAGTCGCCACTGAGCCCACCTTAGACGGCAGTGGTGGAAAACTTTGTCTGTGACAATCCAATTAAAGTTCTCGTGCCGTAGACAGTTGCTGATGATTCTGTCCTGTCCTAACCGAGCGCGTTTTAACCCCCCCCCCCCCCACAGAGGCGAATCAAGGTGCTTATGGAGGTTGCTCTCAATGCCAACAGACGGGACATCCAAGCGCTTACGACAAGGTGAGTAATTTTTTATTTCATGCTCGAGTGATGTCCGTTCAAAATTGATATGCAAAGGCACTTGAGCGTGAGACAGCTCGTTTTCATTTTCATACTATGGACGCAACGACTGGAGGGTAAGACAGACCAGTAGGAGATCACAGAAACAGGGGCTGCGGACAGACGGCCTCGGGCAAGGGAACGCAAAAACCACCACCAGGCGATTGACATCTTCTGAGTGCACGGTCCTCTCTCACACACATTAGATGGCATATTTTTTGGGACTTTAACAGTAAAATCTGAAACGTGATTTCGGCCAGAAGGTACTGCCCAGGTGGGGCTGCTATAGTGATTACCATACAGCATGAGTTAAGGATACTTCAGTCGCAGTCGCGTGCCAGCCTTTAAACGCTTGTCTTTCCGGTCGCCTGCGAACTTGGCCACGTACTTGGGCCAAGTTAGAGGCAAAATTGAACTCGGACGGACGTCGGAATTGACACAAATGAAGTCGCACCCCCCGAACTTGGATGCTTGTTCAGTGAATGTGGACTTGGACCAAGTGAGACACCTTCACAAACATGCAGTCATGCGTCATGGTGGGCCACGTAATCCCAGGAGACAAAGCCAAACGCTAAGACACAGTCCACGGAAAAAAAGGCGAGGGTATGCTATTGGCAGAACTTTCGGTGCTCGACCAGAGAGAGAAGTGTTGGTCGACATATCCTCGCGTCACTGATTCGCGCATATTCTCGCATCTTACGCATTGGTCTCCCGAGTGCCTTGAAGATTGATATTATGACAGCGTCGCGCTAGTCATTAGGTACGGACCCTGTTCTCCGTATCCTCATTTATTTTCGCGTTTCGCCCGCCTCAAGGATCTTACCGGTAGGCGGTGGATAGTGGTTATAGTCGTAGTCAGATGCCGGGATGTCTTTGAGTCGGAGAGCAGATTCCAGCGTCCAGAAGCTGGACAAGGTGCACCTTTCACTAGGAGGTCGTGTCCCACACCGTTGTCGTCTGCGCAACTTGATTGCCTCCAATGGTTGGGACAGACGAATTAGAACAGGGATTTATCTTTAAAGCTCGATGTAGCGTACTCTTATCTCAGTAGTTGAGGCACGTTCTGTATATCGCGATAATTTTTTTCCAGATCTCCTTACGGTCATGCTGTACGGAGCGCGTGGCCGCACGACGTAAGATCCTGAAGTTCGCATTGCCTTGAAGGCGGGCGACCTTTCGATATTAGTCAAGCTGTTTCACCAGGAATCCTATCTTTGCGACCACACTGGCGTGGCTGTACACCTGAGAGGTACTCTGCGGGTGTGTTTCAGTTTAAAGTCTAGTGCCGTCAGCATCAGAGCGGCAAGGCTGTTGAAGGCAGCCAGGCAATAGCCCGTGGGTAGCCGACATTATAGCTGACATCGTATTCGCCTCGTTGATGCATCATAAACCCCCCGTCCTGACATTCGTATCTCCCCTAAGAAGTAGGCCAGCAGTCTGAAGTTCGTCGTAGATGGTTTCTTTCCTCATTTTATCCGCATCTGGGATTTAGATTATCAAGACACAGGAGTTCAATTCTCAGAGGAACCGGTTTCTCGTACATACATTGCGTGACCGATCTCAGTAAGTGTTAGCCAAAATTCTGGAATACGTTTCCGATTAGGAAGGATTATTTAAGTGCGGTTGTTACACTGATTATCATGCAGCATAACCATATAACATTTCGGACTTGCCAGGATGTCGGCTTTTGAATGCACGTCTTTTTGACCTGCAGAAACCACACTCGGCAAAAAATAACTACTTAAGTGACATGCACTTTTCCTATTGATCTTCGATGGCCTTATAAATTCAAATATATTTTATAGAAAAAACGCTCAAAATATGCTTTCTTTTGCTCACTTGAAAGGAAATCCCATTGTATTCATATTTTATTTCCGAAGAAAGTGTGTATTAAGGTTTTAAAAAAGTTTCCCAATTCCCGAATAATTTTCAGCCTGATCTGCCATTGCATTAGCATTTATCAGTTTCAGTCTAAAAGATGCATCTTTCCGCGTAAGGAAAATCATATATTCCTCTATGTCTTTAAGAAGATACCATACAGAGTTCATAAAATTTTGCAATGGATCCGGACTGTGTTGTACATTTCATGAGGAGCATTAGTAAACGGACATGTGCGGTCTTGCATACATAGACATCGCACGGTCTTAAAATTCTCAGAAATAGAAACTTTTTTAAAACCTAAATACACACCTTCTTCGGGCATAAACTATGAAGACAATGTGATTTTCTACCAAATGAGTAAAAAAGCATATTTTGTGTATGTTTTCCATAAAATATATTTGAATTTATAAGACCATCGAAATTCAGTAGGACAAACGCATGCTACTTAAGTAGTTATTTTTTGCCGAGTGTGGTTCCTTTGGTTCCTCAAAATGAAGTGCTTTCAAAAGCCGACATCCTGACAAGTCCGAAATGTTATAGGGCTATGCTGCATAATAGTCAGTATAACAACCCCAATTAAGTAATCCATCCTAATCGGAAACGCATTCTATAATTTTGGCCAACATTTCATGAGATCGGTCACGCACTGTAAGTGAAGTTCTTGTCTCATCCCTCCTGCCGACTGTAGCATCTTGCCGACATTCGTTAGTGACACCTCGGTGGTAGAGTTGCGAACATGTTTCCGCACGCGACACCTTGATTTCAGGCGTTTCCTCGTCACGAGCATATCACGAAGAGGCAAGCAGCGCCGACCTTTCACTGCATCAACACCCGGATGGCTAGATGTACCTTTACTGGTTCAGGTAGAACACCCACGTCGCGGTTTGTGATGCTTACTAGCCATCCGATCCACTGGCAGAAGGCTGGGCATGTTTCATGCTGCGGACCCTGTTGCAGTGCTCGACATTCCTAACTGAGGAACTTTCATGGGATGTCGGGTTCCGTAGTTCCCATGCCATTTGGATGGAGACTCAGCCCTCAAGAAAATAGAGACGGGAGGAACTTGTTCATCTGCACTCTATACTCACCACGTAACAGTGTAACGTCAACACTTGTATTGTACGTGTTGAGGTGGGCTCAACTCTGTCAGCTATAGAACCCACGCGTATCACACCTGTTGACTTTACCATACCATGTAAAGAGGCTGGACATGGAGAGAGAGAGAGAGAGAGAGAGAGAGAGAGAGAAAGAGGGATGAATGCACTGCGAGCATTTTCTCCTCGAAACCGTTTCCTGCACAAGCTACCACCATGCCTTCGAGGTAGCTCTGACCCTTGTCACTTGCAACAAACAAAACTACCACTGCAGTGTTATGGTAGAAGCCAGAAAGATGACAAAAAGTCAACTTTACGCTCTTACTGCTAAAGCATGAATCAGCTAGGAAGGATATTGACTACTTGATAAGTTTTGGTCGTTTGAAGAAGCAGGTACTAATGCTACCACGAATTAAATTCCGGCGTGGTAACGAGTTTGGTTCCGATAACTCTGACCTACATATGCCTATGGTTGGCTCGATTGATCGCCTTCCAACTTAAAAGCCGCGAACCCCACTCTCCGAACTTCGCGTGAAGCATAGAATGATGAACGTCACGGTACTGATTCTTTCCTCTTCCTTTTGAGTGCAGACTAGAAGACCTGGAGCTGGCTATTTTTCGGATTGGTCAGCGGGATCGCCTGCTTCTGGAGCGCTGGTCGTCACGTCATCATGAACGACTTGAGGCGTCTTCGGTGGCGAAGGAGACGATCGAACTCATAGCCAGAGAAAAGGAGGCAGAAGCCAGACAGAACAGTCTAGCTGCCGGCGAGATGTCCGCTGATGTAAACTGACTTGCCTGATCCTCGCGGCACTCATCCACTAGGGCCAGCATGATCTTGCGCAGAGTCAGATTTTCTCGTGCCTGTCCTTTTTCCGTGCATTTTTGATCCGATGCGTAGTTTCGGACTTATCCACCTGCTCCCCGGCCGTGGGTGTAAGGACGATTTCTCCCGCCTATTTTGTGTTAAATCGATATGGACAGTTTTCTTGTTTTGGCTATTTTTATATGCATAAATGCTCTGCTTTTGCGTCTTTCTCGCCGACTGTATCCTTTTTTGTCCTCGCGATGCTCTTGGATGTGGCGAATATGTTTGCGACGACAGTTAAGCTGACTGTTTTTCACGAAATGTCTACATCTCCAGGGACGTGAAGGAGTAAAAGTAGGCGAGGGATTGAGGGGCGCCTGTCTTTGGTGTCGGCAGTCGTCAATTAGCATTCGGGCCCGGGCCATCGGGAAAGTGCAGGTTGCAACGTGCGTACTTACTCACCTGTCCAGCTTGCAGCTCTTTTCAGGGATTCTACGTCACGACTCTCGTCCGCTGGGCCGCCGCTTTTAAAACCTATTGATGTGATTTTGCGAAATTCCGGATTTGGTGACGACAGGAGATTCCGCGCTGACTCTTCAGTTTTCCCCGTTGTTGTATCATGCAAAGAAATAATGGCAACGATCGTGTGTGTGGCCCTACCCTGGTCTTGACCTAAACCGTGGCCCTACGCCCAATTCTAGATATGAGGCTACGCACGCTATCCTTGCCATGGAGGCCCTGAAGTAGCTTGCCTACGTAAGTCAAGTAAGTAGACATGTCGAAAGAATAAAGACTGAAGTGGGACTATGCACGCTATCCTGATCTATATAAAATGAAAGAACGTGGGAATTCGCATTACGTCACAGAATTGATGCAAACTAACAGCACGGTCATATTTAGAAACAGTGGGGACATACTATCCGACACCTGGGATTCTCATGGCAAGGATAACTTCCAGCACTGACCATTTGTTTGGACGGGTGGTTTCGACCCGCCATATGTTACTTGAGTTATACCCCAGCACCACCGAGGATTCTGAAGCCCAATTCGGTGTCAACTGAATGTCCGCTGCCTGGAAAGTACTTGATCCAGCGGGGTTATGAGTGAGCGTTGCCTTTCTCTGCCAGAACGTCCGAATTCGAGTCCGTCTTGTGGGCGTTTGGACGAAGGGGACGGTAACTCCGACCGAAAAAGAGGGGACATTTATGCTTCGCCAAAACCTGAGGCCATTAACTGCACTGTTTTGTGGAAATAGGGGAAAGGTCTAATGAGTGACATCTAAGTGCAGTTTCCACGTGGTTTTGTAGTAGGCCATCTCAAAAGTGTGCTTAGTCGGAAAGGGAGACAGAGAGTGGAGTCCGCTGCAGTATCAATCAAAAGTGCATTGTCTGGGCAGTAGTCAGACACCAGATCCTTAGTCTGAAATGTCTATGTTAACGAAAATTTCCATAGTAGCATTCAGAAGACAAATTGGCATGTGTACGTTGCTTTCGATAAATTCTCACCAGGTCAGTACAATTATATGGGAACGGGGGTGCTGGACACTATCAAAAACTGACGTTGCATGGGAACACACCTGGGAATTATTCCAGTGCATTCTGATCGATGAGGCATTGACCATCGAATGTACTGAATCGCCTGTGAGGGACACCTAGGCTGGATTACCACAGAATCACGCCCTAAGGGTGGTATGCTGGTGGTGAGGAGCACACTGGTGGGTTTACAGCCCGACCTTCATTTGCGTAAGGAAAATGGTAGGTGGACTAGATTTACCTGCCTCGCTATATTCGGAATTGTAAACGGCCTTCGGGAATGGAATAATTCGTATGCAAGGGAGGATTTGTTGATTTTTCAGCTTTACCAGATGTTATGAAGTTGCTGTTTGACCAAAACGTTTATTTATGTGGCATAACATATACGGAAGATGTCACTGTGAAAGAGAGCGATTAGTTGTTGTGTTTAGAGATGTTCAAGACCGGACGCTCTCTAGTTCCTTCCTAATCAGCTCATGGCACTAGATTATGAGGGTAAAACTAGCCTTGGATACAAGTCGTCCAGTAAATTGGTAGGAACGACCAAGTTGGCGTAGTCCTCTGGGATTTTTATAATTCCGGACATCATTGTTCGGGTAGAAGGTCAGGAGAGCAAGAATGCAATGCGTAACAAAATTAACTAGTCATTGCCCTCCTCCGCAGTACGTATACTTTTGTCAAGGTAGACCGGCTGTCGAGTGCGGCAGCATGAAATGCCAACTGAGTTGGTCATTATGTCTGTGAAATTTCTTATCCGAAACCACAATATAGGAGAGCATCTTCAGGAACTGTCAAATGATTGGAGATATTGCGCACGATTAAAGTAAAATTGTGAATTGTGAAAAATTCGCAAAATATATGCGCTAACGAATGCATGCGTTAACAAATTACGTGTTTTGCCCTAACATTTCCAATGGCGTCTGTAAGTAAGCAATGATAAAAACTTCAAATAGAGCGTGAACACTAGCGAACCCATGTAGTCATGGGAGCGGGATGAACGAACCTACATTACAAACACACCTGTATTACTGTCTTCGAAGAAAACAGATGAACATCGTAATGAAAAACTTGTGCACGGGAGCACAAAGTAGGGTAGGGACAAAAACAGTCAGTTGCTTTTGGGGACGGAGCGGGTCTTTTGGCAGACTGGGACTGACAATAATGACTGAAACTTGCAGCCAGGTAGTTGGGCAAGAGAACAAGGAAGTGGTTGGAGGACACGGGTGTCGCGCCCGAGCCAGGTCAAAATCGTATTTGACGTCATCACAGACAACTCTCCTTGATATTCTTACCGGTCAGGAAGGACACCTGTATAAGAACTCTAGGCAGAAGTTACCTTAGAAAGTGGGATTGTCGACCAATGGAGTGCTGACCTGAAATGGTGACCATATGGGAAGGTCGAGTAGAGATTGCCCGAGAGATGAGATACCGTCAGTCATTGGGATACTGACCAGCCTTATGGAAGGAGAAATCGCACGGGATTATAAAATATTTTTGGTTCCATTGCTATCCAAGCTCCCTGCCAACACATGGCCCCGGGGGCCAGACGGGGCTAGATGGGGCCAGGCCCCGTCCAAATTTTGGTGAATTTCCATCTTTTCTAATGACGTCAATCTGCATTATTTTAGACAGATTTCGCTCCCTTATCGTTAAATATAAACTTTTTAGCTTGTATAATTCATTTCCAGTTAAATAAAATCGAGAGAAAGTAATTTTTCCCTAAGGCAAATATTGGCCTTGTTTAAGTCGGTCATGTACTCACCCGATTGTATCGGTTGACCAGGTGAACAACCCGGTGAATGACAATACAGGTTTACGTAGTCTATTGCGGTTCTCTGCCCCGACTGTTTCTGCTGGGGGTAGGTTCGCGTCGATGTCGGACGGCTCGAGAATTGCGGCTGCTATCACGGGGTCGTATATCAGATCGAGGTTCTCTGGAATTGACAGACGGCGACTCTTGGTGTGGATAACGCAGACGTATTCCGCCAGGAGATCCAACCCTAGAATTAGAGCCCATGGGCTATCAGATGTCACCAGGAATTGTTATGTGACCTCTGTGCTCTCTATAGTAAGGTCTAGGGTTATGCGACCCAAGATGGTTATTAGGGTGCCGTTCGCTGCCCACAGAGCATGGAGCTCGCTCGTGTGATCGATTTGTTCATGTAACTCTCGAGTGAGGCTTGAGCTATTCACGAGGGAAACGTTGGCGCCCGTGTCTACTAAGGCTAGTATATTGTGACCGTCTAGCGTAGCGGGTATTGTAAAAGGGGGTGGATGGGACGATAAAGCCAGGTAGGTGGGAGCAATGAAGGCTGACTTACTTGGCTGGTTGTGTCCACATCGCCGAGCTTGGGGTCCAAACGCTGCGCAATAGGGGCATCCGGGGTTGTGGTCCGGAAATCGTACTGTTAGGGCGGAAGACCGTCTGTTGAGTGGGGGAGTTGTACCGGTGGAGCTGTTGGTGCGGTGTCTGGGTCCATTCGCTCTCGGGTCACACTCCTTGTAGAGCCGACATTGTTGGATAGCCGATGACAGGCTGGCAGGTGGGTTTAACAAGAGGACACCCCTGGCAATACGGTCCCTTAGGCCAGTAATAAACTGGTGTGGAACGGACCGGTCGCGATCACTTTCTGGGAGATTGGCGAAAGCCGCAGCGACCAGACGTCGTAGATCGTGGATGAAGTCATCAACTGATTGTCCGGGCCGTTGTCTTAGTGTGGCGAACCGCTGGTTCGCTATGGCCGATGCGTCGGGGCTGACAAAGAGTTGCAAGAGAACTTTAGAGGCCTTTCGGAAGTCAGATGTGGGGGTAAGGCCGGCGTCAAACGCTAGCCTACGGGCGGGGGTGACAGAAAGCGTAAGAGGTAGCATACGTGTTCGTGAGGAGGGACGCTCACCAGGAGGAGAGATAGGTCTTGCAGCCACTCTCGGATGTTCTGTCCTGGCTAGTATAGTTCGGTGGCTAGTAGGGGGCTAGGCCCATAGGAGTGTAGGGCGCTAGACAGTTGGACGGGATGGGTAGGTCGGTTCGGGTTTGGAAGGGGGAAAGGGCCAGTGCGCTCACCATATGGGAGGGTAGAGTAGAGATTGCCCGAGAGACGAGGTACTGTCAGTCAGTGGGATACTGACCAGCCTTGGGGAAGTAGAAATCGCACGGGATTGTAAAAAATACTTTTGCTTCCATCGCTACACAATCTCCGCTCAAAGCTTTACGGTCGATATTTTGGTTTCACTGCTACATCTGGTTATGCTAATTAACCGTAATAACTTGATATACAACGAGGTAATGCGTAGGATGCATATAAATATATCCTGTACATACTTCAGCCCCTTATACATGAACCATCCTTATCTGCTTTTGTCGCTGATGATGGATTCGAGCGGGAACCCGAAATGTCAGACTAATAATGAACTTGTCCCGGCGATCGTGTCTTCTTCAAAAAAGGCGATTCCAGATGCCGACGGGTGGACCGACCACTGTCTCGTCATCTCCAATATGCGGATCCTCATATAACCTTGTGAGATACCTCAAGGTGAGCGCCCCTCAGGTAAGCTGAATATTGTTTCCCCGTCTCTGCCTGCTCATTATCTCCATTTCAGCAACGAACTAGCACAACGGCCAGCCAACCTTCCAGCCGCCTCCGCCTCCGCCTCCGCCGCCGTCTCCGCCATCGATGAGAAGGCTTCTGTGGAGAACCGATGATTCCGACTAAGTGACACAGTCCAATCGACAGCCCTGGCTGTCCTCCCTCCCGCACACCATCAACATCAGAACTGATCCGGCGCCAATGATGCCGCCATCAGCGACCCGTTCGCCGAAAATAACCGCCAGCACAAAGCCTACGTCAACTGCCCTACCGACGACAACAAAGCAGTCTTCTGCCGTAGTCGCTGCCTTATGCGACAGCGGCTGTGGGGAATGCGGGAGTCCTGGGCGGCTCGCAAGGCAGAGGGGATCCAAGGTAACGCAGACCGCAACGAATATAAGGAGTTCTCCGCGAGTAAGTCTGTCTACGGTCCCACAGCCAAGAGCACCACTCCTCTTCTACGCACCGGCATAACCACCCTACTTACTGAGAAAATGCAAATACTGAAGTATTGGGCCGAGCACTTCAGAGGCGTCCTCAACCGTCCCTCCACTATCTCCGACACCGCTATCGCCCGTCTGCCTCAAGTAGAGCCCAACGTCGAACTTGACCTCCTTCCGTCCCTCCACGAAACAGTCAGGGTAGTGTAGCTGCTCTCAGCGGGAGCGTGCCCGGATCGGACGAGATTCCTGTCAAAATCTGCAGGCACTGTGGTCCCTAACTAATAGAGCACCTGACGGCTCTCTTCCAGGAGATGAGGAGCCGTGGACGGGTCTCTGAGAACTTCAAGGACGCCACCATCGTACTGGAACTTGTGAGAATCTTTAACACCAGATAGGATTTTATGGCTTATTTGGAAACCAACAACCTCTTGTCCAAAGCACAACACGGTTTCCGTGGGGAAAGAAAATGTGTAACGTACTTGCTATACATAATGTAAAGTTGAAAAAGAGCACTGGATGCAAAACACACTGTGCATGTGGCATATATTGATTTCCCAAAGGCGTTCGACAATGTCCTGCACCAGCGTCTCCTGTGAAAGTTGGGAGTTATGGGCATCGGCGGCAAACTTCTCAAATAGATCGAGAATTTCTTCGTCGGCCGTTCCCAAATTGTCTGCATAGATTAACAGCAATCAGGCCGCACATTCATAGAGGTTGGAGTCCCACAAGCCTCAATGCTCACACCAACCCTCTTTCTCTTATTAATCAATGATTGTGTCGATGGGTTGGAGCGTGATAGTGCCATGTTTGCAGATGACAAAAAAATCTAGGAAATCATCCAAAATGCTGCTGACTAGACCAACTTTCAAGAAAATCTTTGTCGATTAAACGAATGGTCTCGCATATGGCTCTTGTCCTTCAATTTGAATAACTGCACCAAACTGTGTCTCGGGAATCGAACTCAGATGCCGAATACGCGGCAATATTATGTAAACAGGATGTCGCTCTGAGCAACGGAAACTCATAAACATCTCGAAATTTGGATTGCGGACACTCTAAAGCCTCCTATGCAATGTTTTAAGGCGGCTAAGGCCGCAACTTCAATGCTATAAGCCATCAGACGGACATTCACAGTTTTTGACGAAAAATGCTTCTCGAAATTCTTTGCCACTTTTGTAAGGCGGCGGCTTGACTATGCAATCCAGGCTTGGGGATCATGGACAAAGCAGTATTAAAATTTACTCGAAGGGTTCAGAGGCATGTCACAAAATTAGTAAGTGGTCAAAGTACACTGTAGAAGGGCAGCCTGAACTTGTTGCTTAAACGTGACTTTGCCATTCTTGCCCCTTTTTGCTCACCTGTTTTTCAAAACGATTTTTTAGTGACTGCGGTGGAAGAGTGTGAGAGGGCCAGTTGAGAGACCGCTCATAGGGAGGAGGTCGAGAAGAAGCCAGAATAGGATTAATTACTACGTACTGATATAAATTTATAAATAAACATATTCATCGTCGACCTATTCTGCCTGCATACGCTTGCATCTGAGGATGATGAGCTCATTTCAAGCTAGTTTTCAGGATTCCAGCCAGGAAAACACCCGACCTGACAGAAACACTGGGGAAGCATATTCTGACTGTCGCATAGAGGAAGAGGACAAACTTGTACCTCTGGGTGGCTTGAACACTACAACACTGTCTTAAGAAACCCACCTAAATAACCTTTATATCTATCCAGTGAGTAATAGGCACTTGCGCGGAGACTTGATACAAACTTTCCATATCGTACGTGGGTTGGACTGCGCCCTTCAGTGCCACGTTTTTTTTCGAATCGCCACTACAACTAACCTCCGGGGACATCCCACCAAACTACGTGTTTCCCAAGGAAGATTGGATGTGAGGAAGTAGTTTTCATCAAGAAGATGACTATGTGATTTTTTAATCATAAAAAACCCGTGCCTTAAATGAACCGATGTCTGCATTCATTTATCGCTGGAATTTCTTCATGTTGTTGCTATTTTTTCGAATTTTATGTGCAAATAGGTGGTTCAAATGCGTAAGCGTATTTCCCTCAGATACACTGGATACCGAATCTACACCATAATAAGAAAATTGCAACTGCGCTGGAGCGCTCACTTGGTGCGAATAGAAGACGAGCGGCGGCCAAAACAACTATTATATGGTGATGTTACCACGGACTTCCAGCGAAGGGGAGGTCGAGCCCGGCGCTACGATGATACCTTGAAGAGCTCCCTGAAGCGCCTGCAAATCAACCCTACCAACGTGGACGACCTCGCCCGTGGCCGACCGACTAGGAAGAGAGCAATGATGACGAGCGCAGTAATCTACGAAGTCAACTGCATCCCCGCCGCCAAGGCCAAACGTGAGGCTCGCAAACATCAATTGCCCCACCTCGAAACGCCAACTCTTAACCGCGCTAAACCTGTCCGCGATGTCAGCGGACGTTCTGAGTACCAGTCGGTCTTAGTGGACATTTCTGAACCAGCTGCAGCACCCGGACGACACCACCCGATGAATTCCGTCCACATCTGCCTCGCTCCTTTCGCCGACAATGAACACCAGTTGCACTCCCGAACACCCACTGCCATTCCCCATCGCCCCAACATCCACTGCAGCGGCTGCCGTACCCACCGCCACTGCACCAAATCCTGACAAATCAACAAAAATGGGCCATAAAGACATCAGCACCAGCGATGCGGACTTGGTCCATGCCTGCCATTGCGCAGAAACTGGCGAACCAGTGCCTGGAGCATCAACCTACAATCGTTACATTCGGCCCTCCTTTTCACACTAACCCCGCAAATTTACTCTCCGCATAAGCCCTATATGGACACATGCCCATTCACGAAAACCAGTGGTGGGCAATCGTTGGCTACACCACACCATCATATCTTTCCCCATCATTATCCGCACCACAAAACGTTATCACTCATCTCACTTCCCACATATAGGTGATACGTGCTGTTGATGTGGGATTTGGAGGTGTGCGTGAGTGCTGCATGTGTTCGTGGGAAAATGTGCAGTGACGTGGCTACGTCTGCGGTGATTTGTCCCAAGTTTCAATGAATGTGCATGGGACCGAATAGACCTGGATGATAACTGAACCAACGGGAAAATGTTGGCAATATGGGCGATGATGTTTGGTGTTTGTTTGTGTTCCAAACCCTGGTTCACCCGTCTTTGTGTGATGGATTCGCTAGTGACTGACCAGGACAATGCATGGAGTGAATGTGCGATCGTAATGACGACAGTAATGGACAGGATTCAATTCCTTGGAAATGGAGGTGGAAATGGCGAGATGGTGGTCGCCAGACAGTATAGAGTCTCTTGTTCGGTGGCGGGAGCGGTAGTTGTGGTGGAGACCGTTGTCGCCGCGAAAGTTGTGACAGAGACGACGAAGATGGCGGCTATGGACGGAGGAGGGGCCCGCGGATGCTGAACATCGGTGTTGAGAGCGGTTATCGTAGTGGACGCCATGTCGTCGGAACAGGAAAAGTCGGGGAGGCAATAGTTGGGATTTGCAAGCTGCTCATGCATTAAGACTGGAGATGTCCGACGATGCCAATTCGCGCATGGAATATTCGTTGGCAGCGCTAGCACGTTGGAGAATTTGGATGTTGGCATGAGGTTTAGCGGCGCCTGAGACTGGCAGGTCTCTCTTTTGGCTTTGGCAGCGGTGACCCGGTGGGCTTCAGATTGTATGAAAACAAAAAAGGTTGTCAACAAACTTCCTTGCCTTCAGCAATCATCCCTTTGTTTAGTTATTTAAACGGATTGACGTACAGGTTCTTGCAACAATTTGACACTTGTCGACAGGAGTCTGACAGAGAGATGCTCGACGGTTAAGATACTGAATTTACAAATCCCTTTTGTTCCTTGGGCTCCTCTTTCGAGCCTCATCAACAGCCGTATTGCACTGCGTAATATGGGCAGAATGGTGTTGATGACAAAAACAAGGGAGACTGTAATGGCCATTTCTGGTCTATTAGTCCTCGTGTGTACGCCATACCTGATCTCGAGGTGTGGTTAAGACGTTGGATTTCTAACCAGCAGGCCACAGGTGTTTCACACGTCGAATTTGGGTACAGCTGACTGACGAAGACTCATAAGTCAGATATGGCCATTCCAGTCACCCTAGTCTTTGTCGATAGTATCAAGTAGAAAAGGGCACAGAACTAGTCAAATCACAGATGAGAGAAGCAGCAAAAACACTTTACGTTAATGTTCAAAAGATGGAAAAGGTAAAAATGAGATATCAAGAATTTGGCATAAATATAAAAAGCTCAAAAAATAACAAAGAACACCTTTGATGGGCGTTTTACTACGTTGAAGTTATGGCGGAAAAACAAAAATATTAAGCCAAAGCTGGCTGCCTTCCTTGGCGCACGTTTACGCAATTATTCCACTATGCGTTTGTTCATCTGCCTGCGTTCATTATGAGTCACGAAGCTTCAGAAGTGAATGAGAGTGGCTCATGTACCGCGTCTATGGTATCCGATGCAACGGAACAGCATAAAGCAGAAGAGGACTATTTGAGGTTCCCTCGCGCGCTTTATGAAGCTGTGCGCCTATGGACTAACGAGGAATTAGATAGCCTGATCTTCGCACTTGAAACGTGTGAATGATTTTTTCATCTGATGCAGAACGTTTTAGTGATAGCCTGCTGACACCATCTGAACTAATGAAATTTCTCCCATCCAAGAATGCCGCAGAGGTTCTTCTCATTGTTTTGCATTGTTTCTTAGATAGATTCTCTCTTACAAGTAATATTGCGCTCTCGGGAAGAGGACATACTCCCTGCCCTAGCGAAGCAACCACCACTTTTATCTGAAGGTGAAAGCAGTATCGATGTATGCTAGTATGAATACTAACGTTTTCTTAGATTTTCCGAAACTCGGTTCGTTTTGCCGTGGACGACCAGTTTTCACCAGCCAAGCAGATAGTTTCTGTAAGTCTCCTGGGGTTTTACGTCTAGCTTCTGTCAGATAAGAATAGTGATACTAAAAGGCATTCTTACACCATCCTTTATTTCGACATTTATCGCCACATATTTTGTAAATTTCAAATGATCTTGTCTTCGTAGAACTGCGCCTAATTCTATCAAATAAAAGTGACAATGTAGGTTTCGTCTTACAGTGGACAGCCTGACATGTAATCATGCCGGATCTAGTCCAGCCTGCCACGCTACCTATCATGCAACCTAAGTTGACCTAAACGTCATCGGTAGTATGAGCCACAGTTGGCTCCCCCTTGCCTGCAGAGAGAATAATAATATTTCTGCCGATTTTTGGGTTGAATGCTTCTCATTCTGCGTGTGGAAAGCGATTTCGATCCTTTACGTCATCTAGAGTACTGTTTTGGGTTCTAAAGTGTTCTTCTTTTGCATGGTTTTCTGGTGGTACGCTGGACTGCAAAAATGCATGTAAGTCTGGGTAGTTCGTGTAGCTGCCCCAATCAAATTCTCGATTCTCTACTATAAACCAATTTTTTCATTCAGTAATGCATCAAAATTTAAGGGAGCCCCATAGGGCCATCGATATCTGGCATTTTGCCGGCTCTGCCTTTAGTTATCTCCGGATCGTGGCTATGCGATTCAGACGACAAGTTTTATGTTGAAAAAGATCAGCTGAAAGTAGTGCACAAAAAGGGAAAGCGATTTCATTGACCGAACTGTATTGGCGCTGAAGTTTCGAAAAAGTCCTCCTTTCCATAATCAAAAGGGTTCCAGGGGATGTTGTCACTAGTCGTGATTTATTCAGCCTCGTTTACATCGTATTATGACCGTACCCGACGCACAAACGTTAACTTGTCGGTTTGCCGCTGATTTACTTTGGCCTCCTCGTCATCAATCGCCGGCGGGCTGACGTGACATCTGTCCCCTTAGCAGCCGTCGGACTTGGAGCAAAGTCTACTTTCTGGTTGGCTCACCTACTCGTCACCTAGCGGACCGAACAGTTGTCGCGCGAATTCCTTTCGGCTCGTCGGAGATGTCAAGAGCAGGTGTTCCATGCCGGTTGTGCGGCTTCCGACTGGTCGCATTCCTTGTCTCCGAAGACGTCATCCATTGGTCCCACGTGATTCCACTTACTCACTCTGCTGGTTTTATCTAAACTAACTTGGTCCCAGTGCATGCTAAGTTAGCATTTGGTCCATGGCTCAATTAATTATGCTACTTGAGGACAACTTTCGAGCATCAGTGTGGCCATCGTATTGGGTCGGCCGATTACCTCCGCTTTCTGAAAGGTATTTATCCTGGCGGTGGATTACAAGCTGTTGTTCGTGCAGTCCCGTGCCAAGTCGTTTTCACGTTTTGCATGGCATTTTTGGCAGGGTATGCTGCAGACCACTGCTTATTGTTCCGCCGCCGGTGACCTGTCCCTGGGTATGGTGGTTTGAGTTCAGATGATACATTTTTGTTCGTGGCCCACGGGAATCCCACGAAAGTTAGAGCTTATTGCCCTAGCTTCTGATGCGTTCTTCGCATATGGGGTCGCTAAGTAGAATTACGGCCTTTTATCATTCGGACACTGAAAGTGAGCCTTCCCGAGGCAGTTGCACATGAAGGACTTCAGGCAACCTTTGCTCCCAGATTGGGTTTGCAAACAGTTCACCTCTTTTCTTATAGTCTCGTTGCTACAGTGTGTTGGAGTCCGTACAGAGACGGTTTTTAATGGGTGGCATAGTGCGCTGGGGCGACTGTCGACTTTAGGGTTCTCAGCTCTAACGCCGTAAAGGTTGACGAACGAGCGGAGAAATGCTCGTTCACTCGGCGACATTTGCGAATAAGAAAGGGGCAGTCTTGTATTGACGTCTTGATCACTCACTTCTGGAAGTCTACTGTCGTTCGTTGGCAGTGTTCACAGACTGTGTATCTGAGACACCCAGGCAAGATCTTATCAGGGTGTCGGTGCAGGTTCTTCCTTCTACGTACCCAGAGTAATGCATGACGCCCATAGAATGAAGCAACGTGCGCGAAGATTCGAGGTCTGGGTATGCTATTACATTCATCATTCCCAAAGAAAACGACGGTCCGAGTAAATGAAGGTCGGCAGCGACAAATACCTCACTGTTTTTGTGGTTAAAACGAAGAGCTCCCCAAAATGTCAGCGCGAAATGAATTTCAGTGCTACTGCTCGTGTTCAGTTATTGGGCCTCGCCGTCCGCCTATCATTACAGCTGTGCTCGGATCACGAACTTTGACCTGCCTGTCAGTCGGCGGACTGATCAATCGTTGGTGTCCGCCTGAGTTGCTTCCAGTTTCGCTCTGTGAGCGTCGGCGCTCGGCTCCGCGTGCTCGCCTCCTCTGTTGGCCCTGTCCAAACCGATCAAAGCCTTGTGCGTGGCGTTTGGCAGGCGGGATACAGGTCAATAGCTTGGTCGAGGGTGCCAGTCAAGGACCAACTTTTGAGCACCACTCTGGCCATATTCTCATTGGCCTTGCATTCTAAAGAGCGGAACAGCGGTTCATCTGTTGTACGTGGCCATAAACCAGAGACAACTTATCCCTGTGGTTGATTGCAAGTTGATGTTTGTGCAATCTTGGGCCAGACCATTTGCCCGTTTCACCAGCATAAGTAGCATCACACTTTTGGTATGGTATGCTGTAGACCACTGCTAAGTGTTCTGTTTCTGGTGGCAGGTCTTTGAGCCTCATGGTTTGCTGTTTAACTGTGCATTCTGGTTTATGAAACGTCAGCACAAACATAATCTGGTACACGAACTCATCCTTTCTTCCTCGTCTTCTTCGGTGGATGATAAACACAATGAGATATCTGGACCCTGAATATTTACGCATATGTATATGCTTAGATATTGGCTTCTATGCGGCTTCCTGCGAGACAGCACGACGAGCGCGTCCTGTAACCTAATCAGTGGGCGTCTCTCCCATATATAAATATAAAAACGAGATGTTTTTTGTTAATGCTCGAGGCTGGCCGTCACCTCTGCTTTGGATGTATGGACAATACACATCGGTACGCAGATTTTTTATCCGTGCTTATTAATCCAGTTAATGGTTGACTGAAGTCTGCGCCAGTGCGCATCTGTTTCATCTCTTCACCTCCGTCGGATTTGGCTGCATTCATCTCAATCTATCCTTGGAATTTTGGATGTATCACCTCATTTGTCTGCGTTGCCTGTGGGAATTCGCGGCCTTTCTTACTTGGAAGAAGCGAAAACTATACGCGTCTTCTTTCACGCAAAGGTCTGTCCAGTCCCGGGATGGGTGGTCTCATCACTGCTATCTGGCACTTCTTTGTGTGTGCATGTATGTGCCACCATCTCCGAAATCGACACTGGCACCGTCGACCTTTCCTGTCCCCTGTCCCTGTGCATTCACCTCAAGCATCGGCTCGGTCGGTCACTTGCGAATCCATCTCACAGACTGGCGAACCAGTGCCTAGAGCACCCACATACACCAGACACATCCGCCTCAACTGCCCTCACTGCATTCGCACATTAACCCACCTCATGGGCCTATTAGGACACATGTGCATTCACGAAAATCTGCGGTAGACAACCGCCGGCAAACCACTTATATCACGCAACATCATCCAGCACGGGCATCCAATTACCACCTCCCACGCTTGTGGGCAGTGTGCGTCTCGGCTCCGTTTTAATGCTGCTTCTTTGCTGCACGTGTTATTCGCGTCGGAGGCTACCACGGCACGTCAAACGCCGTGGCTTTGAAGGCTGCCGACTGACGCCCCAACTCAGTTCACACTGTAAGCCCATTTGTATGTGTGCAGTGGCAGACTGGTGGGCTGAGAGCCAGGCTGAAGCAGCTCCTTCCTAACGTAACCTACGGCATTCTCACGTATGTTAAATGTACGCCGTTCAGCCCCCGTTGTGTGAAATCATAGGGATTATGTTTTTGGGGGCCGGGTCGGGCATGTTGCGCGCGCAGGCAAGGTCACTAGATATGTCAGCTACCGCGTCCATTCCCGCCCTAGTCAACTGACTGGCTCGGACAGTGACTGGAGCCTGGGAATGGGAAGGGATAGTGAGGTCGACGGCCCATCGCATTTCCCCCGTTACAAACAACCTGACGCATTTGAAGCTTTCACGTTGCACTAAAAGCCGTGGCTCGTAAGGTTGCCAACTGACGGGATAACGTGGACCTCGCAGTCGGCCTAGTGTCGTATGTTTCTGCGTGAAGCGGCCGACTGATGGTCTAAGAGTCAGGCTGCAATGGCTCCTTCCTAGTGTGGCCTTTATGGCACCCCTACCCTGTGGGATCTGAGCCAGGTGCGGCTCCAGCCATGCTAGCCACACTGTTGTTGGTCAACAAGCAGGTCATTTGTTGTGTGAACCAGGGGGTGTGGGGTGGAGCGCCAAAGTGCGGGCGCGACCGTGCAATCCACTTGCGCCCTTCCCCGCCTCCGGTCTTCTTGACTCTGTCTCGACACCGGGTCCAGGTGGAGGAGGGAGTGCGGTAGATGCTACGCAAGTCTGCATTCATTATAAACTGAATCACGTGCAAGTCACCGTGACTGTTTCACCTTGCTGTGGAGTACACTGTGGACATCGTTGGCAATGACGGTCGAACTCTCATGCAGTTGAGGGCTGATTTGCCAGTTTGGGTACACGGACTCCATGAAAACTCGTACATGGGATTGTGTAGAGAAACTATGCCAGTTGTGATATAAGCAGAATGTTATTACCGACAAGGACAAGGCAGACTGGAGTGGCCATTTCCGGTTTATTAGCCGTCATCAGCCATTCATACCAAACCCCGAGGTGTGGTACACCCGAGGTTCGAACTAGCGACCTGTCATTTAGAAGTCTAACGCCTCAAACCACTGGGCCACGGGCCCGTTGTCCTGTCGGCTTCGATAGGGAATATACACTGGTAGAAGAACGCTCACCGATCGTCCTTACAGAACTCCCCCGTTCCGTTTTTGCCTTCCGGGCACCCACTGGGGCCCAACCAGTAGCCTCACAGCGGCGCATGGTATGGGCAGAATGGCATTACTGACAAAAACAAGGAAGACTGGGAGGTCCATTTCTGGCCTATTAACCGTCGTCAGCCAGTCATACCCAAGCCGAAACCCCTTCATTCTCTTCGCCGCCTATTACTGTCGGTTTTTATGCCGCAAACAAAATAACTCTCCTTTCACCTTATTCTTGGATCGTAAACACTATTTGTGCTGAAATCTCTTCTCCATTCTGTGGTCATGGATGCGTCACACAGCCTGTATGCATGTTAAAGTATTTCGTGATGGATGACACGGTGTCCATTCCATATTGACAGAAAATGAACTGCTACATCGCGATTTTTTCATGAGCCGTCAATGTGCCTAAAATTAGGGGTGTGGCGAAGAAAAGGGTTGCTATTTGACCTTGCCACTGTTTTTTTAGCGCAGATCTCTAAGCCAAAGTTTTCGAAGAGGTTTCTTCCTTCTGGAAATAACGTGGTTGTTCACATTTTGCCTCGCCTGATCTACTGGAAAATTACTTTTCGTACTGTCGATGAAACTTTTGGCAAATCATTCCTACTTCAGTTAATGCCCATCTGTTAGAAGAACACGCGCAAATATGTGGATGAGACCCATGTTTGTTATTCACGTAGGAAATTGCTTGGATTTCACGGAAGGTTGATTTTCACGAAAAATAGGCACTTTTCTGCTAATATAAAAAAAAACCATAGAACATATTGTACATGAGATAAAGGCTTTATATGTAGTCCGTTAAGCCAGTAAGTAAAATTGATAACTTTCTAGGTGCTTCAAATTGACCGCCCAGATTTCGGTGATGATACTCCACCCAAATTTACTGGGCTTTTGACCTTCATACATACCCTTATAGGCTCTGCGCGAACTGGCTGATAAAGAGGGAGAAAAATGTTTTCCTACTCCGACATCCAGTGGAAGCCAAATGAAGACCAGTGCGCAGCATCAAGCGAGGCCGGATTTTTCTCAGATTTACAAGTTTCTGGCCTCATTATTCACGCCTGGAAAACCCATGGAGTTGGAACCGTGTAACTCTGCCGTGATCTTCGATACACTGGTTTGGTAAGTGTCTATTATAGCTGAAGGCATTCATAACCCAACGACAAACAGTCAGCTGATGCGTGAGGGGGGTTGGCACCAAGTTATGGTAAGCTTTGGGGTGGGGGGAGGGAAGGGAGAACCGTTAGGACTCCCTGTGTTGGAGCTGGAGGAGGAGCGGGGAAATTGCGGATCTGTGGGAATGCGGGCGGCAAGTCACTAGTGCGGGATGAGGTCAGGGGGGCAATGCGCCGGCGTTGGAGGTGTTAGGATTTTCGGCTGTTGTTCGCCGTGTCGCAAGGGGGGGGGAAGAGACGAGACAGCAAAATTCTGCGTGGCCGAGTAGAGATTAGAAGTTGTTAGGGTTTGGGAAGGTGGGTAGAGGCGTGGACTTCTAAACCAACAGGTCGCGAGTTCGAGGCTCGGGTGTTTCACACTTCGGGCTTGGGTATGGCTGGCTGACGACAGCTAATAAGCCAGAAATGGCCATTCCAGTCTCCCTTGTCTTTGTCGGTAATAGCATTCTGCCTATATATCATGCACCACTGTGCGGCTGCTGGTTGGGCTCGAGAAAGAGCCCTTAAGACACAACGGAACGAGTAAGTTCCGTATGAACGATCGGTGAGCGCCCCCTACCATTGTATATTCCCGATCGAAAACGGACAGGGCAACGAGCTCGTGGCCCGGTGGGTAGAGGCGTGGACTTCTAAACCAACAGGTCGCGAGTTCGAGGCTCGGGTTTTCCACACTTCGGGCTTGGGTATGGCTGGCTGACGACGACTAATAAGCCAGAAATGGCCATTCCAGTCTCCCTTGTCTTTGTCGGTAATAGCGTTCCGACGTTTCAAACTCTCACGCGAGCCCTTCGTCAAGGAATGAGAAAATGTACAACTCATCGTGTATTTAGCTCACCTCTGCCGAGGGTGACCTCTAGCTGCGCTGCCGATTTGATCACGCAGTGCTTGGTAGGCGATTGGCAGATCGATATGTCGATTAATCGAGTCCTCGGTTGACTGCCATGCTGTCTGCGGCAGGCGAGCAACTCGGTCGTCCGACTGGCCCAATATTCTCACGCACTGAAAGTCGAAGTCGTGTCCTGGCGTGGAGGCGTGGGCGGCTACCAGCGAGGGTTTATCTTTCCGTCTCACAGCCAACTCGTGTTCGTGCAATTTCGTGCGTACCTGTTTGCCGGTTTCACCAACATAATTGGCTTGACCACAACTGCAGTCTATCCGGTAAATGACCCCCGATTTCTGATTGATGGGAATCGGGTCCTTAGGGTGCATGAGTTGCCGGCGTATTGTTGCCTCAGGTCTGTGGGCGACACCAATCCCAAATTCGCTCATCAGTCTAGCGAATTCTTCTGACACACCGGCTATGTACGGCACTGCGCGCCAACATTTCGGTTTTGGTTGTCCCTTCAGTTGTCTTCCCCGGGTTTCTCGCCTGCACTTTTCAACAAAATTACCAGGGTAGCCGTTCGCTGTGAAGAGTTTCCGCAGGAACTGGACCTCAGCCTTCTTTTCGGCTGGCTCGGTGCAATGGGTTTCTACACGCCAACTTATGCTCATGTATGCGGGTAGAAGCAGATTTCCCAGTTTGGCCACAAGTGACGGCATCACAACTGGAACGTGGTATTTTGTAGACAACACCTTTTCAATCAACACAGCCACCCCTGTCCTTAGGGTGTACAAGCTGTGTACGCAAGGTGGTTGTAGGTTGGTGTGCGACTTGTATCTGGTGCTTTTTCAGCTGTCTTTCGACGAGTTCAGATACATTTTTTATTTATGGGAGGGTCCGCCAGGTGAATGTTTTTGGTGCCTGGGTGGCCGCTGTTTTCGAAATACCTTTCTGTTTAAACTCATGTTTCATGCAATGACGCAAAATGTGGCGCGGGTACCCGTTGTGGGAAAATAATTTGAAAAGGTATTTCACATCTGCTTGATAACTTTCTTCATCAGAGCAGTGTGGTTTTGCTCGGTTTAGTAGGCTGTAGGCAGTACTCCTCTTGTGAGAGATGGGATGGTTACTCTCAAAATGTATGATGATCTCGGAGTATGCTTCTTTGCGATAAACGGAAGTTTGAAGGGATCCATCAGTTTTTCGGCATACGAGGACATCTAGAAATGGGAGCTGTCCGTCAACCTGTTTCATATGTGAACTGAATTCCTGGAAATGTGGAGTTAAGATTCGTGTGGAGCTGGTCTAATTGCTTTCTCTTGACAGTGACAAATGTGACGACGGGCTGGGGAACCAGGCTCGAAAATTTACTCATTAAAGTTTATTCCCTTCCCAAAGAATCTTACTTATTTTCAATTAAATTTCTTGGGATGCCCGTTTTCCAGCACATACGCATGAATTTTGAGCACAGTGTTTTGCTTAACGCTCGAAGATGGGAAAAATATACATTTCGCGAAAGTCTGACGCGAGAGCAGTTAAGTTTCCTGCACCGTTGTCGTAACAACAAGATTCTTCCGACGTCTGTGCGGATATAGCCTGCGATAAAGTCAACCCCAGGCTATCAAATTGCGATCCGTTATGGTCAACAAATGCTTGGAGCATTCGTAACTGACGCACACCACCGACTTCGTAAATTCACAGAACAGAAAGAACAACACATGCAGTTTTGCATTGACCGACTTCCTCTCCAGGTATTTGAAACTCTGCAGGAGACCTTCACGCATGTCCCGGAACTGGAGCGACTTAAAAAGAGGAGTGTTTCGGACAAAAAATGGAGGTCCATTTCTAGAAAAGGTTACAATGACTGTTCATCAAAGAAAGTTATAAACTTATCATCACGAGTACTGACGACAGCCGAAGAGAACGTGCTGAGCAAAGGAATGAAGTACAATCCATCTGACTCCAACTACTTGAACTTCCTTGCCAGCTTCGAATCCATTATAACTTCGGCAGGTCTTACAGAGGAAGAACAATTTACAATTCGCAACAGCACTGTACAGGCCTTGAAGAACAGAAACAAGTTCTCAACTTTGTCTGGCGATGAAAAGAAAGCACTAAATTCACTTAAAACTGATGAAAACACCATCATTCTGCCCGCTGACAAAGGAGGCTCCACCACCATAATGAACAAGAAAGACTACACAGAGAAGATGATGACACTACTAAAAGACGTATCCACCTACGAACCCCTAGATGCTGACCCCACAAAATCGCAGAATTTATGCATTGAGAAAACACTAAAGCGCCTTACAGGAAAGAAATTAATCTCAGGAGTTCTGGCTAAATCCTTAAAAAAAGACGAACCCACAATTGCCAAAATATATGGACTTCCTAAAGTTCACAAAATAGGTATTCCACTGCGACCGATAGGCTCCTTAATCGGTGCACCAAACTACAAGATTTCTAAGTGGTTATTTCACCATCTGCATCCACTTACAAAGGACTCTGAGAACTCCATTGAAGATTCAAATGAGTTCCTAGACAAATTAAAAGGGGTGAGTGTTGCAACCGACGAGATAATGGTTTCATTCGATGTAGTCTCACTCTTCACCTCGATTCCATTAGATTTAGCGAGACACTGCACCGAAGAACTCCTTCAGACCTACACCACTGATGTACCTGCCGACGCTCTACTCCAACTACTTGATGTTTGTCTAGAAACCAACTTTTATTTCGCCAAACAATGTTATCGTCAACTGAAAGGTGCTCCTATGGGTTCGCCTATATTTGGCTTCCTAGCAGAAGCCATAATGCAGAAACTGGAGTCCATAGCCCTTCCTAAAATTAATCCAAAACTATGGCTACGCTATGTTGATGACACATTTATCATTGTCAAGAGAAAGCAATTAGACCAGCTCCACACGAATCTTAACTCCACATTTCCAGGAATTCAGTTCACATTTGAAACGGAGGTTGACGGACAGCTCCCATTTCTAGATGTCCTCGTATGCCGAAAAACTGAGGGATCCCTTCAGACTTCCGTTTATCGCAAAGAAGCATACTCCGTGATCATCTTACATTTTGAGAGTAACCATCCAATCTTTATTAGGCACCGACCGGCATCATGGTATGTCACCTTATGAAAACTTTTGACCCTATGACGTCCCCATCGGCGAAATCAAGCAAAATCCAGCTTCTCTTGTTGAACTCCATCTCATTTAACTTTAAATCGTTAATGAAATTATGAAACAATGGAAAACTGTTTTGAAATCTACACTCATAATTCAGGCAATTGACAAACCGTCATATATGAGGTCACACGACCTATTAAACGATATTTTGATGTAAACTTCACTGAAACGCTGTTATTAGACGTGATTTTATGTCTACTTTCATATTTACTACGTGTTTGGTATGAGAATACATTCTATACATCTAAAAATGAACTTAACTTAATTAGAGCCATTTCTGACGTTTTCGGGATATTGCGCTTTTCAAAGTAAATCAACATTTCTAAACAACGCAACACTGCCCATAATATTTCTTTTATGTTTTTAATTCTTTTAAACTTAATTAACATAGACATTTGACTCATGAAATGGTGTCGGTTTGCGAGTGATTGGCAGTCATTCGTAAATTTCGGCACATTTCATGAGTTAGGTCACGCACTGTATATGCTGGAAAACGGGCATCCCTCGAAATTTAATTGAAAATAAGTAAGATTCTTTGGAAAGTGAATAAAATCTCATGCATAAATTTTCGAGACTGGTTCTCCAGCTCGTCGTCAGACTTTTGGGCTATGTACAAAAACAGTTAACTATTTAACCGTGCCGAACAAGTGATTCTATGGTTGGCCGAAGCCTGCACCAATGCGCGTCAATGATTTCCGTCATCTCCTCGGCATTGGCTGCGCACGCTTCCATATGCCGATTGATGCATGCCTCATCTGAGTGCATTGCCTCCAGGAATTCGCGGCGTTTCCCTATTGGGCAGGCGCCACCAATGCGGGTGTTCTCCCATGCAAATTGTTGTCCAGTGTCCAGTGTTTGCATAGCCACCTGGGATAGATGATCTCGTCTCCTCACCGCCAACTTATGTTCATGTATGCGGGTAGAAGCAGATTTCCCAGTTTGGCCACAAGTGACGGCATCACAACTGGAACGTGGTATTTTGTAGACAACACCTTTTAAATCAACATAGCCACCCCTGTCCTTAGGGTGTACAAGCTGTGTACGCAAGGTGGTTGTAGGTTGGTGTGCGACTTGTATCTGGTGCTTTTGCAGCTGTCTTTCGACGAGTTCAGATGCATTTTTCACGTATGGGAGGGTCCGCCATACATGTATGGTGGATATGCCGCCGATCCTATCACGCTGAGCCAAAAGACGCAGTTTGGAGGGCTGCCAACTGACGGAGTAAGTCGGTCCTCCTCCCAGGACGGAGCCAGGCTTCAATGAATCCTTATTGACATGACCTTTAAGGCACTCCCACTCAGTTGGAATTCGAGTCGGCCACCTGATGTTTCGGCGGAAACTGAGTCCCGTGTGCGCTGACCACGCGCACGTTACTCGCGCAGACGAGTTCACGCACAAGTCACCGTCCCTGCACCCCTCATGCCGCCAGGTACACAGTTAACATCGTTGGTAGTGACGGCCAAACTGTCACATCGTGTTCTGCTGATCTTATCGATTCTTCACAGCTACCTGTTCGTTTTTGTAGTGGGTGAGTTCGCTTTCTTATATAACCTGAAACATCCCCTGGTTCTGAAAACATCGACGGTTACGCTGTTGTTTTTTGTCGAAATCTTTGGTTGTTAGGCGGACAGGGTGCCTATGTATATATGTGGACATCTAGGGTTTACTTGCTGACTGGTGCCTCTCACACTCCTTCCGTTTTTGCTGTAGTCTCACCACCGTCGTAGGACGCATTATGAGCCAACTGCCCACGGACCCCGAACTTTCTGACATCGTTCGCGGCCTAACAGAGAAGATGGGTGACCTGCTCGGTATGCTGGCGGTTGCACGAAACTGCATGCATGTTTTGCGTGGCTGGGGCGACGCGAAATCCAAAACGGCGCTACCTGCCTACAGGCGCTCCGTGAAGCACAGTCGACCGAACATTCTGCCCTGTCCGGCCGTTATCTGTGTTCTCCAGGAGGCTGATTTGCCCGAGGGCTATGCCCTAAACAGGCAACTCTGCACTCTTCTTCGGAACATTATGGAACGATCATGGCAATGTACATCCGATTTTATACCAATCTTTCACGCCTGAAATTTATGTTTATTGTCAGTCTTAATTCTTACAGCCAGGAAGGGTCGTTTAGGCATCCTTTAGGAGGCCAGAGCCTACGTAGGAAATGGGGCAACGTTTTGCAATCCTCGCCGTGAAGCGTGAGGAAATGCACTGCCGCCTCCTGCAGCATGAAGTCGGTACTTGAAGCAACCTTGCTGAAGTTTTGTCATTTATGTATGCAATTCCATTTGGGTGGTCCTCGATCGATAATAATAACATTCCCAGAAGTTGCTGCCTTCCAGAAATTCCTTAGGTACGTTTACTGACACTTCGAGGGCCGCAGCCTGAACTATCATCGCCGGGGCCTATGGAGTTGGATAGGGGTTCGCAGCATTTCTCGCACGGAAGCTTACTAAGGATTATTGGTTCTCTCCCAAATTGCTATACACCGGTTTACTAGTATGGAGACAATTATGTTCTGGCTCGACTCAACGGATTTCGGCAAAATTCTGTTTCCGCACTGGTCTTCTTGTGTCAGGATCCAGGGAATTGCGAACTTCTCACATCCTCAGCCGTGAACTAACGCATGCCTAACCGAAAGCAGGCATTCAGCTCCAGCTATGTAATCTTATTTCGTAAGGAGACAAATTCAAGGATTTTGGGTAGAGCCTCTTTAGCCCCATCACCTCGACTAACTCATAGCATGCAAATAAATTTATTCGATAACTTTCTCTGTGGCCTGCAGGTCCTGGTCATAATTTCCTTTAATGATCCCTTTTTGGGGAAGGAGGCTCTAGGCCCCTACTTTGACCGACTCTTCTAGCCGATCTCAATTTCTAAAGGCTAAAATTCACATTGCACGCCATTCCCACCATAGCTCCACGCTCCCATGGTTTATAAAACTTCACAGTAGACCTATGTGCACCGTTCCTGCCGACTTTTTGGCCACATGTTAATTTTGACGCATCTTTGTTGCAGTCCCAACCTCTGATGACAACAATTCGACTGAACTTCCACGACAGAGCCTTGAAAATTATATTCTGAACCCTCTGGGTGTTCCCACTGGTGAGGTGCCTGCGATTTCGCTTGCTGTTGCCTGGCAGAATCTCCTGACGCTGTTCTACCAACAGTGCATCTTGCCCTTCCTCTCCCCGTCACAAAAATGCGCGTAAGAACAATATGTGCATATTTGCATTGAAGTCAGTTCAGCACTTTTAAAAGGTAACGAGTTTTATTCCGTAAATTGGTGGCGCAGGTCCCCAGGCTGTCGCCAAGCATGCAAAATGCGCAAAGCGGTTAGCTTTTAAGGCTGTCCGAAACAATCATTACTCTTCTGCCGTTTCTGCCAATGAGCGATGGCTGCAGGTCGTCATCCCTTTCGGTTCGACTAACTTCCCTTCAGTTTCACCTTTTTTAAAAAATCTAATTCGAGGAGCCGATGACTGCTGGAGTCACCGGAGTATATGGCTTCGAGGAATTTTCAAACTTTCCTGGATAGGCGGATGCCAACAGTGCGAGGTTTGTCTCATGTCTAGCGTACGTGCGCCTACTTGGGATAGGTGATCCAGCTTCTTTGCTACCAGTGGATATTTATGTTTGCCCAGTTTGGATACAAATGAGGCCGTCTACAAAAGTATGTGCGACGCCTGTGACACAGCGGTCAAACTGGAAACTCCATCTCTGCACGTATTCACGAGCAGTAAACAGACAGGACTACTTGTCCCAAGTGGCCATGCTTGGGACAAAATTCACATTGTTGTCGCTTGCCCTTTCAGGAAAGCTGAGTTCCTCGAGGCTATACACTCGGGCGAATCATGCATCAACGGACGTATTAAGTTTGATGTCCCTTGTATTTGCCCATACTCCATTATCTGCATAGACAGCTCTCCAAGAGTGTAATAGGTCAGACGTACAGTGAGTGACCTAACTCATGAAATGTTGGCTGAAATTCTGAAATGCGTTTTCGATTAGGAAGGATTACTTGGTCGCGGTTGTGATACTGATTATCCTAAGGCATACTGTTATAACATTTCGCGCTCGGCAGGATGTCGGCTTTTGAAAACACTGCTTTCCAATCTCTTGTAGAAACCGTACTCTGTAAAAAATGACTACTTAAGTAGCATGCATTTTTCCCATTGATTTTCGATGGTTTTGAAAATTCGAATATATCTTATAGAAACCACAGACAAAATGTGCTTTCTTTTAGTCAATCAATAGAGAATCACGTCTTCTTTATACTTTATACTTAAGGAAGGAGTATGATTAGGTTTTAAAAAAGTTTTCTAATTGCCGGAAAATTTGGAGTCTGATCATTCGTTGCATTAGCGCTTAGTGATTACACTCTACAAGGTGCATGCGTTCCGCGTAAAGAAAATCCCATATTTTTCTATGTCATTAAAGAGATATCATACAGGGTCCATAAAATTTTGCAATGGATGCGGACCATGTTGTACATTTCATGAGGAGCAATGGTAAACGGCCATGTACGATGCTATGTGAATGGACATATCGCGGTCTTAAAAAGTCTCATAATTAGAATTTTTTTAAAACCTAATTATACTCCTTCCTTAAGTATAAAATATAAAGAAGACGTGATTCTCTATTGATTGACTAAAAGAAAGCACATTTTGTCTGTGGTTTCTATAAGATATATTCGAATTTTCAAAACCATCGAAAATCAATGGGAAAAATGCATGCTACTTAAGTAGTCATTTTTTACAGAGTACGGTTTCTACAAGAGATTGGAAAGCAGTGTTTTCAAAAGCCGACATCCTGCCGAGCGCGAAATGTTATAACAGTATGCCTTAGGATAATCAGTATCACAACCGCGACCAAGTAATCCTTCCTAATCGAAAACGCATTTCAGAATTTCAGCCAACATTTCATGAGATAGGTCACGCACTGTAGACAGCTGTTTCACGGTCCTTACCGATCACCAGTACGCATAGGCAACGGAGTTCTTAAAGCAACAGAGTAGTGGAGCAGCACCCAAACATAGGGAGTTCGGCCTCACAGAAAGTAACTTAGATACAGGTCGTGGATCTTACGTGTGTCCGCGCTTCTGCTGACAGGTTGTTGCGAAGACGATGCAACCAATCTGCGCGGTGTCTATCCGAGCGGACTTTGAGGGGTTTGTCCAGTTTTTCACCTTTTGATCGACATTTGGCGTCTACAACAGACTCACGTGCTGTATTTGTCCCTAGAAGTTTTTCCGCTAGAGCCCCCGACGCTCCTCCAAAGACAGATAAGCCCAAAGAGACTCCACCTGCCGAAGAAGAAGCCCCTGCAAACGACCGTAACAGAGGCCTCGTAAAAAGAAGAAAGGTGAGTTACTCGCTGCTCCTTGAGACCGTCAGGTCAACACAGTCCTAAAAGTACTACTTTCTCACGCGCTGCGTTTTTACGGTCTCGGGTAGCAAAGACTGCGCTGGCACGACCGTAAGGGAGGTTATGAGAAAAAGAACGCTGGACTGAATCTAGTCCACGCGGAGTTGTTTGCTTCATGACTCGAACTAATGCAGTATTTACAAGCGGCTGACTACAGACTGCGCCGGAACTACTAGCACCTTAAACGGAGTCTTTTTGATACACTTCCAAAATGTAAGGGTAACTTTGCGAAAGTAGTAGTAGTGCACAAAGCTGAGCTCATGTAGCATGCTTTTGCCAACGGTTACTTAGTGCTATTTTCCATAAGTCGTATGGTTGCAGAGACCGGCCCTATGGATTGTTACTAGTGTAGACTAACTTTTGGAGTTCTCAATCCACGAAGAGTCGACTGCTGACATTTTCAGCATCGAGTAGTCAGTCCGATTTGACGGCAGCTGAGAGAACTACCAGTTATCTCACCCATATCCGTCTACTCACCTGCCCAGCAGTCCTGCGCCGACGTAAGCACTGGTAGCATATCATATGACCTAATCTGTGAAGGCACACAAGCGACGAATGTTCACCACCATGGTGGATTGCGATGTGTACTTCCATGAAAATTATTTTAGAGTAGGACAGGCTCTTTGAAAACATCTTAGGCCTTCACCCCGTGTCCATGGTGCTTGTTGCGGGTAGAGCTCTCGAGAGAAGACACGCGATGTGTTTGCACATCCATCCACTAACAAGGAAATTGGCCTCGAGGTGCCGTTTTCCTGTAGCATTCACTCCTGTACGAGATGATTCAAGTGTGTTGCCCGGCCATCTGCTGACAGAATTCTCCGGCCAAGATTGCCCTGGACGACACAAGACGTGTAAAACCAATTGCTTAAGCTCACTTTATCCGCCGTGGATTAGATCTTAAAAGGTCACGTGCTTCGCTCTGGGTGTGGATGTTCGACGCGCATAATTGAAAATTCCTCCGGCATCTTAAAACCGCCCAGGTCTTGGTAAGGTTGAAGCTTTCTCATACTGTATTTGCGGAATTGTAGCCACATCTTACTAGGAAGATAAAAAAATATGGATTTTTTTGGCCAGCACATATCGTATCCCATTTTAAGTTTCAGAACATCAGAAGGGCTCAGGTAATTACTTATTATCGAGGTCATCCTAGACTCCGCTCACAACATTCATTTGCCGTCTGTTGTTTCCTTTGCGCCAGTCTTCCAAACTGACTCAATGATTTGTCTTATTTGTCATTAGTACACCCGAATGTCCGGCTCATACCGTCGTTTGGGCATGCAAGTTACGAAGGAGGACATCGATGCCCACATAACAACGGTAAGCCCTACCATCCACTTTGTCAATGTCCTCCAGGGGTGTATAGAATCTGCAATGCTCGAAAAGAGCAGGATTCGGTGGTAAGAATAGTATTTTGGGAACTTCGGATCTGTTTCTGTGACCAGCACCGTGGAGGACGAATTCCAGTGAAGCGACTTCTGTAGGCAGATGGAGCAATTGTTCTCACCAGCTGTTCGGCTTAATTCGTTCGGGCGCGAAGTATGCGCTTGCGCCTGGGTTTGACGAGGCTGCAACCAGTTCATGAAGACAAAAATGTCGATCGACGCCACGGCGTCGACGAGCGAAGGCTGAGTTGCACACGCGCAAGCACCGACTGTCGTATTAGGCGGACCGAGTGCGACAAGGATAAGCGGCCACGAGAGCAGACCGCTACAAGAGCGAACCCCAACTGTAGTTTAATTCCCTTCATAATCGGTGATAACCAGTCTTCAGCATACAGCGATTTCGTTGCGACCTTCGGGCTTTCATATTAGCACTATCTGCCTTCAGTGTGCTTTTGCTGTCAACGTCACCCGCACGCCCCCTCGTTGGCCGGTCAGTCGAAACAGAGGCCCGGTGCTACGAGTCGGGACAGTAGGTAATCTGGCGCTTAATACGATTTTCAGGTGCATGTTGGCCAAAACCATGCTTTTGTGTCCTTTTAGTAACCGTACTAAGCCGAAAATTTACAATGAACAGTTGCGTACAGAGTTTGTGGCGTCACACAGACCGGCCATGAGCGTTTGCTAGAGACCGAGCACGCACAGGCGCAAAAGCCGTCGCGTGGCTTTGACGGTAAATATTACGTCCTGATCCGATGACGTAACGACACCTCCGGGGGAGTTCACACTGGAACAGGACAATCTGTAGCTATATTCCGTATCCGAATGTCGAAGACTGATTGCAGATAACATGCATGGCAGTTTGCTGATAACTTTTTTCGGGAACCGACTGGAAGTTGGACTTGCGACGGAATTGGTCTAATCTTCTACTAGAATGTTGTTGCCGAACGTAAGAGGATATTTGGTGGTGTCCCTCATGAGCAAGTGCGCCCTTCAAGTATTCAAGCCAAATACATAGGTAACTGAGGTGAACGTTCTTCACCAATCCCACCCAGCTCGTCTGCGGCTTCTCGAAGTTGTGTCGAGCGCCGCTTCGGCTAGAGGACCAAGCTGAGCGAGGGCAACCGAGGTATCCTTACGGTACTGGCAAATCTGTGCAAAGTCCGATTCTGTCGCGCACGTAGACACCAGACGTATGCCATGCTAACCGCTGCACCCACAATCCATTCCATCCCGTTTTGTAGAAACCCTAACCACTTCGTCAGTAGCTCTATCGACAGGCGTGAGAGCTTAAATTGCAGTTCACCGTTTCTTTGTTGTCGTCCTTCGAGGGATTGAGGTCGCTGGTTACTGTCATGTGTTAGTCTCACCCAGGGGTCTGATCCGACTGCCGTGCGGAACGCGAATCAAAAGCAAGACGCACCTGTGATATTAAGCCCCACGTCTTCTGTGGACAAACCTCGCGTTGATTATCCCATTTCTTTTTGTGTCCACCTAGGCTCGGTCTACCTCGAAGCTTGGAGGCGGAACCCACCTGACAAAACCGTCCCAGCTTCCTCATTGATATGAGTTCGCAACCCTATACTGCCAATTGCCTCGATTACCAAAACTTCGCATTAGTATCATGACGAACGACAGCCACCTAGACGGCCGGACGAATGGTACGGACACCAAATAAGCCTTGCGTAGACTGTGGCAACACTAATTTTCATGCGGAAACGCCAAAAGATCGCCATATCAGGGGTAGCTAGTACATCTTTTCCGGCGACGACTGCTACTAGCGCTACCTGTGGCAAGATCGATTTCAAAGGCTTGGACTGACCCCTTTTATTGCAGGACATTTCGTCCCGGTCTGCTGACCAGAACACCACTCGGATAACCGCGTCCGTGACCTTGGTGATTCCGCTATCCATTTTTCGGAACTATTGGCGTATTTAGGGACAACAGTAAGGGGCGGAGAACATACGTTTGCCAACTTCAAACTCCAAAAACCGCCATGCTTCCTCTTTCCATAGATTTCGCAACACTGTAACTGCACTTTCGATGAGAGACCTTGGAATGAGGCGGAAACGTCGGTTGTTGCGGTATTCAGGACTCTCACACCAATTTTAACGCGTGGGGTACATAACTAGGATATTGACCTAACAAAACCTGTGTTCATTTTACAGACATTCATCCTCAAGGACTGTGCACCCACCTTCATGTCCCAAAAGCGACCCAGGAGCGACAACGACCAGCCGTAACCGGAGCCGACACCGAGCGCATTTATTATCTTTTCTCTTGTGCTTCTCTTTGTGAAACAAAGACTGAAATTTCAAAACGCAGCCCGAAATGATTTATTTACAGGCACTGAGTGGTGGGAATTCCAGTAAGCAGGAGGAGAAAGAAGATGGTGGTGGTGTTGGCGAGCAGCGGGGCAAGAGAAATTAAAGGAAGAGAGACCACTGGTGAGAGGAAGTAGGGGCTGTGAAACCTAGAGGAGTACTGCAAGCCGCGCACAAGTACGTTCACAGAGTCCACTTGCGGCAGCTCAGTTGTTAGTAGCATTTTTTTACCTAATCTGGGAGAGCGAATCTCGTATCATCTGTGGGTGATGACTCACTGTCTCCGTAGTTTACAAGCCTCCGTCCAATGAGGTACCTAGGCGACAGAAGAGCAGCCGAGTTGAGTAAGGTCAAGTTGAAGGAGAGGAGGGGAGAAAGGAATCTCATTCAAATAGTTTCAACCTACTTCTCATCTTTTATCCGCTCGTAGAGTTTGATGCATTGTTGAATGTGGAGGTAGATGCAACCAACCAACACGACCAGACCAAAGAGGAAGGGGTAAGAGTAGCGAAAAGCGGCTTCGGACGACAAGCCTGTGCAAAATTACAGCAGAGAAAGACGGGGCGAGTTACACATGGAGATCTGTCGCCTTCTCGGATGGAAGATTTAATTATGAATTCGAAATGACGGGGGAATAAAACTCCGGCGACTGAGTACTCCTCTTTTTCCAAAAGTAAAGTAGCATGAAATGTCAGGATTTCGGCGTCATAGCGACCTGCAGATGGTGGTGTCTAGTAGCACCTGCCGACCATATGAATCGCCTAGACCACCAGGCTTGAGCCCGCTGGACTACTAAACATGTGCTGTTGATAGTGAGGCCAAAAACCATACTACAATACTATGGACTCTTTGAAGACTGCCATCCGTAACGTTACGGCCAACATAAGATTCACTTGGTCAGCGCATACAGTCGTTTCGGAAGTCGCATCAGGGGTGGAAGCAGTTTTTATCGAATAACCTTTTGTGCCGTTTAAATGTGTCAAGCGGATAATTTCAGTGCATAATACGGAGTTAAGTCTCCGGGACATGACATTTTTGGGTCATACCCGAAACTTCAATGAGCATTCGGGTCGAAGGCAACTACCGTGGAATAACCGCGCAGTTGTCTTCGGCTTGAATGTTCATTGAGAATTCGGGTCTAGCCCTAGCATGTTCTGCACTGAATAATTTGTGAAAGTTTTATTCTGATTATTCCCTGGAGTGCATATGCCAGAAACCGCATCGAGGGCGCTGGGGGACCCACTGAGAAGCCGAACCCCCCGCAGCTGTGTCACGCAGCGGCAGAATATCGGCGAAACACGTGTCTGCAACTTTTAGCAAGTATCCATGTCGGGAGTACGGTATAATACATTTACCATATGGAATGCATACTACTCGTAGTACTACTTGTTTGTAGAATGGGCATTACGTGGTTATTCCACAGTAGTTGATTGTCTTCGACTCAAATGTTCATTGAAATTTCGGTTCTGACCCCAAAAAGTCATGTCCCGGAGCTTTAACTCCAAGTCCCGCACAGAGTAATTTCTGAAATTATTCACTTGATTATTCTCTGGAGTTCATACACCAGAAACCGCTAGAGAACGCTGGGGGTCCCACTGAAGAGCCGAACCCCTCGCAGCTGTGTCACACAGCGGCAGAATATCGGCGAAACACGTGTCCGGGCTTTTAGCAAGTATCCATGTCGGGAGTACGGTATAATACATTCACCATATGGATTGCAGTATAATACCTACGTCTAGATGTGTACCAAAGCCCATGAACTAGCTTCTCTGTTCAATGCTTTCGCTCTCTTTCCTTACAGTTGATGACGAATCCGGTAATTAGCACAATACGTTAAACGTAATTTGCGCAGATAAGAAAAAAGTGAGGTGAGCCTACCAAGCAAGGGACCCAGATAGTGGGCAAGCATAAAGGGTGTGGAGAGGGAGAGACCAACAGCAACAAGGAGCGGGGCTGAGAATCGAAGAATGCGCAGGGTCCGAACAGCCGGCCAATTCTGTAGAATATCGTCGTGGATCTCCTCTAGCCGATCGCGCAGGCGCCAGCGCGGTCCGACCAACAAGACCAGAAGCCAAACCTTTAGGTGCATTATGCCGAAAATCCAGTGCTGTGAAGAGAGAGAAGGCCGGAAATACAACCAGGAAGGCTCATGTTGTCATTAACCAAAACCTCTAGAGTTGGAATTGACATCTGGAGGATACACTGAAAGGCAGTGTTGTGGGGCATCGTGACTGTCAAATCGCATGCTGATAGGGTAGTACTTGGTTGACACAACTCGACTTCAAAATTGAGGCTTGGACCTCAAAGAAGCAGTTCCCCAAACGGGCCCTATGGGAGATCGGGTTCAAGAGACCCGGCCGGTCACGGCGGGCATCTGATGCTATGAGAGCCTTGAAAATTCTGAACGGAGCTACAGGAATAAGCTGGCTTAAGGATATCGAGAGTAGAACAGGTCGCGGCACCCTAGTATGGTGTAAACCCTCAGCGGTATAATGAAAGAGAAGAAGGTTGACCATTTTGGACACTGAGTTGTCTAAATATGGGCGGAGCTTTCGCCACCCTGAATAGCCGAGATACGCATCCCGATACAAAATTTTTCTCCGTCTGACCTCCGAATTCGAACTCTTCCTCGGTCAAACAACAGCTCTTAGCTGCACGGGAGAAAGCCCTAAATAAACCACCGCAAAGGCCAATTGGAGTGGGTCCGTTTAGTTCCATTTAACTACGGCACTTTGGGCGGTCCCCATGCCTTCAAAACGCATTTGCCCAAAATCGCTCTGCCAGTGCGGACCGATGCCTTGGATATACTTTTACTCGGAAGAGGCGACAGGATGCGAACCGACCTCGTGCCACTGTTATCGTTGGACGATCGCTGCCCAGATCCACTGATAATTACCCCCCCCCCCCCTTCTTCCGTACCTTTCTAAACATGGTATAACAATGATTTCGAGTCCATCCAACCGTTCGGTCATCCCAAGCCTTGAGTACACGCCTTCCATAGCAGGATCGCGCATGATATGCCTCTTAGTCTGCCGGACAGCATAATAATTCCGAGTGACCACTTATGCCATGCAGAGAACAAAGCACTGACACTATAGATTTTATAATTCATCGCAAATGCGTTACATCTAGAAAGAAACTGGGACCTATTCTTGGTCGACCGTACGTTTAGTAGTGACACGATGTCGGGAATGGCCGTCCCAGATGGCTGCCAAGTAATGTTGATAGCAATGAAGAAGAGGCCCCGGGAAAAGCATTTGCCGCGCGGTGTGTACCTACTGTCTGGCCATTAAGTGCGCAACTGTAGGGACTGCGAGGCCCTCGCATACCTATCACTAGAGGCGTCGGTGACGCGCGCGCACTGTCAACTCAGGTGCTTAGTTTGTCACTGTCGCCAGCTTGAGAAAGAGGGGCGAGAACAACACTGTCTCTCCCGAACAGATGCTGTTTGCAGTTTTCGCAAGCCTTGTTTGGAGTACAGGGGCCCATCGTGATATACCCATAGCTACAAGGATTCATGTGTACCGGTCATCCGCCCAGTGCCGTGCGGTTGTGGATGCTGGGCTGTGCGCGTGGGGAACAGGTAGAAACTAGAGGTGTTTGGCCACTGCCGTCTGAAAGCCGGTCTTCAACTCCGAGTTCATCTCCAGTGCCGCAGTCCGCGTTAGCGGCAACGTCACAGGGGGGTATCTCGGACCATTCAAGACAAATAAAGTAGTTCAGGCACGTTCTTCGTCGTCCGCCTCGTGAAATTGGTGTTTCCGCCTTAGATCTGGCCTCGTTGTATAAAATGGAGAGCTCAACTAAAAACCCGCCTCAATGCATACCAACAACAGGTGTGAGTAGTTCGGTATTCGTTCACCGTCGCTGGAGGAATAAGTCGAGCTGCCTATATCAGCTGCCGTAGCTTGTCACGTTGGGAGGTATACAATCCGCGATATCTTCGGGGTCAGCTAGATCGGGCATAATGACAGCAGGTACATATTGGACAATACCTGAGAGCGGCAATTAAATAAACCTTTACAAGGGGAGATAATATGCCGGTGGCCAAAACCTGTAGGTAAGTAGGAAAGGGAGGGGGACGGACCTCAGAGAAGCCGAGGGCCAGAGTCTTCGCGGGGCCCACACGGAAGGGGATGAATACGACCAGATTGATGAGCAGACCGAGCAGCGCCGGGAGAATACCGAGGAGAAGCAAACCGAGGAGGACGATGCGCACGGGCGGTGCGATCACTGCAGCGCCGATTTCATTAAAGGCGCTCAGTAACTCCTTGGCGACCTCACGAAGGGCCGACAACGGACGCCACGAGGGACGTTGCTGGGCGCCTGTCAGCGAGGGCACGATGGCCTGCTGGTGTGCCGGTGGGGTGCGGAGGGGACGCAGAGACCCACCACGGAAGAGCCAGTGTCCCAGGGCAAGACCATGTTCAGCCATCCAGCGCCAACCCTCCCAGGCCGGCATCTGGCTTAGCTTTATCACTAGACTATTCAGATAGGCCTTGCAGGATCGCACCAAGGTGGGAACACTGGTAGAGGAGAGATAATAAGGCATAAGCAAAGACAAGGAGGAAGATGACAAAAGTTTGGTGATTTGAACACCCAGTTCATTCAATCGGACATCTCGAATCTACGTCAGGGCCTAACATAAGAGAGAAAAGACAATGAATACTGAAGATCTGGGTATTTAGGAGGCTTGGATGCCACACAGCTGTATTCCTGATGGTTGGCGTGTTTTCCCTCCGACTGCAATAGTGACGACCAGTACTTTCGATTGGTGCACCGCTCACTTAGCGCACGAGTCCTGGCTGGAAGTAACAAGTTCTCAGGCACATGATATAGTTGTAGCCCAAAGTGACACTCGCCTAGATGGGGTTTTAGGAAGTTGTCTATAACTGCGCCGACGAACCAATGCGGCGCGC